TGTCAATAATCAAGAATTGACTTTGCTATCTTGTCAACTAATGACATTTTTAAAGATATAAGCTCATCCTCACATTACACTCATCGAGACCTTTCATTTAAGTACCCACATCAATTTTTCATATATTTTATATATTTATATATATTAGATATATGTATATATGAAAAGTATATCAAAAATGCATGTGGGTACTCAAATAAAAGCTCTTAATGAATATAACATTGGGATGAGCTTATATCTTTGAAAACGTCAATATTTAAAAAAGTACAGTGCAATTTAACAAGAGTCATTATTTAATAAAGCAAAATTTTATTTATTTATAGTTCACAAGTTACGGCAGTCACATAGTGGCAAGGTTGCTAGTATCTAATTAATTTTATTGAAAAGAAAAAATTTTCTTCTTTATTCAAGCCAAACTCTCTAAAATAATTTTTTTGGTTAAAGATTTTTGCTCTTTACCAAGCTAATTTTAATATTAATATTGCCTATAAATTCGGCAAACTGTGGATATTTCAAGCATCATTCGCTTTGATGTCAATATATTAATTATTTTTATTGCAATAGTGACCTCAAAGCTCAAAATACCGGCACTTTATTATTAAACCACACCAAAAATAAATTTAGAAGTGCGAGCCTAAGAATATTCCGTATACAAACAGTTAATATTTAATGTAAGTGAACCGTAAAGTTAAAGTATGAGTTTTCTAATAAAAAGTATTGGACAGATTACTTGAAAGTTAATTTTAAAGCTTTGCAATTTTCACTATTATAGATAATCTATTTTTTACTTAATCAAAAATTAAATTTTAAATAAAAAAATTAATTGATGTGTAAAATGACTAAAAAAATCTAATTGACTTTTTGAATGAGCTTTATCATTTAAAATTGCTGTGGTAATTGAATATTTTCCATTATCTTAAAAAGAATACAAATATAAAAAATAAGAAATGAAGTCTTAGACTTTTCACTAACTTATATTTTTTCTTCACTCGTCTTTGCAACAGAAAACAAAGGCAGAACAATACTGTCTATGTACTTTTACAGTTTTTTGCTTTACATTCAGCTCTTCTTCATCACTATAAGCTTCTTTACTCTCACCCTCAGTCTGACCGGTAACTTCGACTCCGCTTTTTAAAACGCCCTTGCTCGTTTTCTTCTAATGCTTCTTGCATCAGTCACACACACCCACTCGTTAAATTTTTTTTTTTCAGCCGCAGATATTCACAATAAAACCAAAGCGGAGAATCTAAAAATTCCAGCATAGTCTCCGCTTAATTTTTTCGGAAAAAACTTTACAAAAATCATGTATCGCTTTTAGCTTCTATTGACGTGATCGTGCTGCTCGATACCCGATATGTCGGATAGTTTATTTACTTTTTTTGTTTAATCTCTCTGGACTACTTTGCTGGCTGTGTTTCTAATGTTTTTCATTTTAGAGTAAAACATTCGGCTTTAATTATTCACATTGAGAGTAAATCTCCAATCACAATTACTTGTACTCAGCTTTTTTAAAAACTCGGTATTTATTTATATTTTGTTTGCTCGCTAGCAAATTAAATGCTAAACTTTTAATTACTCGCTATTCGATTATTTCCTTTTTATTGTCATTTTATATTTTATTTTTTATTGCAGAAATTTTATAAGTTCCCACGATAAAAATGATTAAATACCAATTTTTTTATAATTAAAAAAAAAACTGGCAACCTTGCAATCACTATGTGATTGCCGTGACTTGTGAACTATATATAAATAAAATTTGGCTTTATTAAATAATGACTTTTGTTAAATTGCACTGTTAAATTGTACTTTTTTAAATATTGACGTTTTCGAAGATATAAGCTCATTCCGATGTTACACTCATCAAGAACTTTCATTTGAGTACCCACATGCATTTTTGATATATTTTTCATATATATAATATATGTAATGTATATAAATATATAAAATATATACAAAATTGATGTAGGTACTTAAATGAAAGGTCTCAAAGAGTGTAATTTAAGAGTGAGCATAAATCTTTCAAAATATCATTAGACGACAAGATTTAATGTCATTTCTTAACTGTTGACGTTTTTAAAGATATAAGCTCATTCTGATGTTACACTCATCAAGAGCTTTCATTTGAGTACCCACATGCATTTTTGATATATTTTTTATATATACATATATGTAATATATATATATATATATAAATATATGAAAAATTGATGTGGGTACTCAAATGAAAAGTCTCAAAGAATGTAATGTGAGAGTGAGCTTATATCTATAAAACTATCATTAGATGATAGAATTCAATGTCATTTCTTAACTATTGACATTTTTGAAGATATCAGCTCATCCCGATGTTACACTGATCAAGAGCTTTCATTTGAGTACCCACATGCAGTTTTAATATATTTTTCATATATACATATATGTAATATATATAAATATATAAAATATATGAAAAATTGATCTGGGTATTCAAATGAAAGGTCTCGATGAGTGTAATGTCGGGATGAGCTTATATCTTTAAAAATGTCAATAGTTAACAAGATACAAGGTCATTTCTTAATTATATATCTAGAGATAGAATATTTTCGAATGCAGCCTAAATAATAATCATAAATTGACGGTGAGAATGATATGAAACCTTGAAAAGGTACAAATTCAAGTCAAGACTTTTGCAATGACACTAAATTTAACTAAAAAAAACCGATTTTATCATACGAATATCCTGGAGACAAAATTTTTCTTATTCTCTTAATAATATAGATTAAAAAGTGCACGACTCATAAACTGAATTAAATTTTTTTCAATATATTTTATTACTAATTAAAAAAAATTAATTAATGGACATAAATAATGGATTTTTTTGTTGAGTTATCGTGTTTCCAAGTTACGAAAATTTTTCTATTCGACCGAAACAAATTTTCAATTTATTTTAATGATTTTTTCGTTTTAATTATTCGTAATAAATTTTTAAAAATTAAAAAATAAACCTTCACTTAATTATCTGTAAAATTAACCAAAAAAAGGATACTAATAAAAATATTTGCAAAATATTTTAACTCATCAAAAATAAAATTATATATCTGTCTATTGCAATGCTAAAAATTTTCGCAATTAAGACAGCAAGAAATAGGTAGTATGATTAAAATAATAAATTTTTCTTACAACCGTAGCTTCCCCCTCCGTTGCTTGGAAAACTATCTAAACTTACTTATAAAAGACGAATCACACTGGATATCAAACAAACTTGTACAAAGTATGTAGCTGTTTAATTATCAGTGGAGCTGCATAACAAATTCAAAGTTTAAAATTAATTATGAATGGAAAATAAAATTAAAGGAAATAAATTAAAGCTAAGAATCTTTCTGGGGAGCCAAGTATATACTATATAGTATATATCTTATATATGTATAAGACAGTAATGATTGAAGAATATATATATATATATATATAAGAGTATTGGTTGGTAAATGGCAAGGTGTCCGTTTTAAGGATTAAACGCGAAACTATGCTAAAAAGATAGAGGTAAGAATGAACGAACGAGAGATAAAGCCTTCGGATCATTTAGTGAATTAACAATTATAATTAGTGATTAGGATTCTCGTCGTTAGCATAAGTGCCCGTCAGTGCTATTGCTACTGCTGAAAAGTTTGAGTGCTGGGGAATCCCGAATCAAGCACCAGATAGAATAATGCGGTCGCCATCCGGAGCTCTGGAGGGAATAGAAGAAACTCGCTAAAAAATCTACCAGCTCCAGTTTTAATGAAAGTAAAACAAAAAATAGCAGATGGATCCTAGAGATAGACCCAAGTTTTCTAATAATATAATTTCAGTGAAACTTTCATGAATTTATTATTTCACCCTCCACAACCTAAGACTTAAATTATGCCGGAAGATCTTAAACAGGTCACTCTAGCTTTGGTAATTGATTGACTTTCATTAGGTATTAATTTTATATTAATCCTATTTGCATATTTATCGGGCTTACTAACTTTAATTGTTATGAATTGATTTTTATTTGCACTGAATTAAATTCGTATTTATGTTTATGAATTATGAATAATAATTATATTGTTTATTGACAGTAAATTGTTATCGGCGGTCAAATTTTTTTATAATATGTGCAGAAAGTTCTACTGCGATATTTTATATACTTTTTAAATTATTTTATCCTAAAAAATTCAGAGAATATCTTTTTTTTCGATGATGAAAAAAATCTTCTAATTTTTTCAATAATTAAAAATAAAATGTTTTACAAAAATTATCTAAAATATTGTTGTTATTAAATAATTTATTCAGTACATTTTTTAATTTATTTAAAAGAACGATGCGTAAAAAAAATTTTTTTATTATCAAAATTTTACTTAAAAAGTTGAAAGAGTTTATAGTAAATATTTAAGAATTTTTGTTATTTATTAATTAAAATTTCGACTAAACTGAAAGCATTTAATTAAATTAATTAAATTATAAAAATTAATATTTTCTTATAGTTAATTTTATAAAATAATTTTTTATGCGGTTAATTAATAAGCAAAGAAAAATTTTTCAATAAATATAACTTTACTAAAATAATTTTAAAAAATAACTCAAATTACTTAAACTTTTTACAGTATAAAACCAGAAAATAAAATTGATAAAAAAATTTCTGATATATTTTTAACTTTTTTTATAATTATCTCAAAGAACTGATACTAAATTTCAGTGGACAAAAATAAGTTAGTAGGGGAAGGCAATTAAAATTATCGGTGATATATTTAACATCACTCTGCAATTACAAACTAGTAGATAATTGAACGAGAAATTAAGAGTTTGATAAAATTTTAAAAAATAAAATTCTAAAAATTATTAAAAAAAAAATGAATCTGAAGTATTTTATTCCACTTCATTTTATTTTCATAATTATTAATTTGAATTTACCAAAAGTAGAATGCACAATAAATCGTGGAGAGATTTTATTAAAAAAAGGATTGTTCAAACAAAATTTGATCAATTCATCTTCGGAAGGCATCATGCTAAAGAAAGTTGCGAAACATTTGGAAGTTGTCTTCAATGAATTAACCGACATAAATTACCTTGATCGTCAAAATCTGACCATCAAAAAGACTGTCCTTCAATTATTCGATTACATTTATGAAGGGTTCGAGTTGCTTTCTGATAGTTCGAAATGGAAATTTGGATATAAAGTTGAACTAGCTTTAGATAATAATCTCAGCGATCGAGTAAAGAAATTTTTTGATATTTTGAAGTCTGTAGAGAAATTGTTCGAGTATAAATTTTTAAATTACTTGGGAGATTTCGACGGCTACACCCAACAGACGATTGACCATTTTTTGAATACTACGATCTATAATATTCCTTTCAAAAGCAATTTGGAATTTTTGCATGATAATGTCTTAAAAACACAAAGTCGTAATAGCGCAAATATATTTTATGTATACTTAAAAGAATTGGAACACAATGTAAGTAATTTTTTCGTTTATTTTTAATAAAACCCATAATAAAAATTAATATTAAAAATACTAAAAATATAATTTAAAATTTATTAAAAGTAAATGAATAATATATAAAATATAAAAATTTACTTTGAAAATTTATTTTAAATATTTTTAACTAAAATTATTTTTGTGGAAATTTAGTCTAAAATTTTAAAATAATCAATAAAATACACGTATTTCTTGAAGGCAAATGTTGGGAACGGTTGCGGAAGTGGACCAATAAGTAGAAAAATATTTAATTTATACAAAAAAACTTTAATTGGTACCATTAAAGGATACACTATGCTTATACTCGGTCATTCATTCGCTCGCTTGAAATTTGACGGAGGTACAGATTTTTGTATAAATTTTTGCTACTATTTTATTTTTATTTAAATATAAAGTTTCAGGTGAACTCAAAAATCTGCAATATGAGTACTTAAAACAGTATAAAGAATTAATTGACAGTGTGTCAAAGTCGGCGCTTCAAATACTAAATTTACTAGAATTTGAACATCAATTATTTGTAAATTGTGACCCGATCTGGAAAGAAGGTCAAAATTATATCCGTGTTAAAAATTACGTCTCAAATACTCGGAGAACATTTAAAATAAATGGTCAGGGGTTTGAATTGAATAATGGAAATTTCCAAGAATTTGAATGCAATAGTCACTTGGTACACTTAAATTCTGATAGTTTATTTGTTTACAGTATGAGATGTCCTGACGTAAGTTTTGAAATAATATAATTAAAATTAATTTTAAATTTCGTTAAATAACAAGAAAAAAATTTGTAAAATTACAGGTTTTCAATACTAACTCAAGATTATATGAAAATTGTTTGAATTTCCCTGAAAATAAAGAAATTTTAAGCACTAATCATTCTTCTTGGCCATCAAAATGTTTATATTTAGACGATGTACCTTCTCTTAGTTCATCTTGTTTTTGTGATAAACAATCGGATCCCGAACTTAGTATCCGTAAATTAAGCTTAAGACCGCTATACACTAACACTTCCATAAATGAGTAATAAAAAATGTTTTTTTTTGTTAATTAGTACATTCGTTATTTTCGTAATGACTTTATTTATATAACTGCGTTTTATTTGAAACTGTTTTTTATTAATTTTATAGAGTTTTAACCGGCATCCGGTTTGCTGTCGAAAATAATGTTATAATAATACAAATTCAAAAAGGTCAAATAAAAAACGGCACTATTGATTCGAAAACTAAAGAATGGAAATCTGCTGATGATTACCCACTCAAAGAAATTCCTGATATGGTGACTCTTGATTACGACGTCAAATCATTTAATCTAGATGACATTAAATTACCGTTTGGAGAATTTTTAACAGGTAATTTTATTGTAAAAAAAAATAATTTTATTTTCAAGTAAAAGTATGTTGAAATAATAAATTTTTTAATTGATAAATTATACGAAAAAAATGTGTTCTAAAATTTTTATCATTAGAAGCTCTAAAAAAATTATAAATACAATTTTTTTTGTAATTAATTTTCTAGACCTGGTTTATTTAAAAAAAAATTTTTTTTAATTTTCAAATTTCAGTCAATTTTCATTTCACATTTTTTAGGTGTAAAACTTCAACTACTCAAAGATAATCATATTAGTTTAGCGGTGAGAGGAACAGCAATGTATAATTCTTACAGTCAAGGACCGTCTGATAATCATCACTGGTATTCTCCAGAAACTCTTTACAATGAAAAACGGTAATTAATTTTATGAAGAAATATTTGAATTAATTATTTTTAATTACATTTTTTTTTTTTTTTAATAGAGAAAACATACCACTGGAAGATTTTCGTAATTCAGCAGAATTATCTTTGCAAAATAAAGAGCTAAGTCAATCGGGTAGAAATTATGTCGATTTGACTGTAGGAATACATTCACATAAATTTAAAAATATACCTGTACTTCCATTTTTTGATTCACAAGATCTGACATCTGATGTGCCTTCGGGAGGCTTAGGATTACATTTGAAAGGATATCCAAGTTTTGGAGGGTTTTTGACGTTTAAATTGGCCGATTCTCAATTCAATTATAATATGATCAGTGATTACGATATATAAATAATCATAATTAAAAAATATTTTTAAATAAAACATTAATAATAACTAGCAACCTTGCAGTCACTAATATGTGACTGCCGTTATTTGTGAATTATAAATAAACAAAAATTTTGCTTTATTAAATAATGAATTTTGTTAAATTACACTGTACTCTCTTAACTATTGACGTTTTTAAAGATATAAACTCATCTCGATGTTACACTCATCAAGAGCTTTCATTTGAATACCCACATGCATTTTTGATATATTTTTCATATATACGTATATGTAATATATATAAATATATAAAATATATGAAAAATTGATGTGGGTACTCAAATGAAAGGTCTCGATAAGTGCAATGTCGGGGTAAGCTTATATCTTTAAAAATGTCAATAGTTCACAAGATACGAGGTCATTTCTTAATTATATATCTAGATATTATTCTCTTAATAATATAGATTATTAAACTTTAAATAATTAAAATTGTAGCAATATTAATTAAAAATTAAAATAATGTATAAATTACAAATTGCAGATAAAAAACCATGATTTAGTTTTTGGCAGTGACAAGTTTTTTTTATTATTAATTTATACACTAAATAATTATTTATATATAAAATATTTACAATTTAACAATTAATAATTAATAATTAATAATTAAAAAGTAACCATTAACTATTCAAGGCTTACGGCAGTGTTTTTGGAGGTTACTTTTAACATTTTATCAGAGCTCTTGGAGGTTCTGAGTCTTTCGGCTGGTTTAAGTATCTCAGCGATAATCTTCTCATCGCTGAGCTTATCAGAATCGTGAGCCGGCGACTTTGATGACTTTAAATTAACATCTACTGACTGAATTTCACTGGTTAATTCCGAACTCGTAGCAACAGACGTTTCTGATTCAGCTTCGGGTATTGTTAACCTACCATTAACTTTTCTCTTTAAAGGACTAGCGCTTAATGTAAATGTATCTGTTGACAGTTCAACTGCCGGAGTTTGGACTGGGTTCTCTTCTGTTCCCACTGACACTTGCAAAAGTTCTCTTGGCTCTTTGTAAAGCTAAAATTATTTTAATTTATCGATATTTAACTTCAATAAATATTCACAATAATTAATAACAATATTAATAAAAACAATTAATTTATTAAATCTTACAACATCAAACGGTGCATCAAGAAACAATTCCTGAAGATATCTACGAGCTTGCAATCTGTAAGTACCGCTGCTTAATCGTGCAGCCATTTCGAAAAAAAGACAAGTGTCCTGGCAAAATAAATATTAGATAAATAATTTAAATAAAATTAATAATAAATATTTAAGTATATTTACTTTAAATTTCTCAGGGTAGCGTTGTCTTAATCTTAACAGAGTCTGTCGGCTATTTCGATGCCAAACAGGATTAGAAAGACGCTGAGAGTGTCTCAATATATCCCTGTAAGAATAAACAAATAATAAATAATATTACATTTTATTGATAATGTAATAAATATTTACTTTTTTATTTTATCGTCAGCTTCATTATTAATCGCTTCATTATTATCAGTCTCAAGTTGATAACAAGCCAAACATATATCACGATGCTCCTGATCAATGCTATACTCGCTACTATTTTCTTCAGTAGAGTTGCTAAAACTGCTATTTATCAGTTTACTGCTTTCATAATCAGGTACATTTACCGAATGCGAGCGAGGCATATGAGGAAATATTATAGACAATTTTTTAGGAAGACATATCCCCATATAATTAACATCATTAGGATCCTCTTGGGGTGGTGGTGCTGGTGGCAGTGGAGGTGGAGTTGTATTAACCATATTATCTGTCGTCCAACTACGAGACGATTCAAACTCCGAAAGACTTTGTAACGACAGTCTTCCATCCAAACTATACATCTGAAAAATATAAAATTTATTGATAAATAAATAATCCCATTAATTTTGAATAATATAAACTAGCAACCTTGCAGTTACTATGTGACTGCCGTGACTTGCGAAATATAAATAAATAAAATTTTGCTTTATTAAATAATGACTTTTGTTAAATTGCACTGTACTTTTTTAACTATTGATGTTTTTAAAGATATAAGCTCATTCTGATATTACACTCATCAAGAGCTTTCATTTGAGTACCCATATGCTTTTTGATATATTTTTCATATATTCATATATATATAATATATATAAATATATGAAAAAATGATGTGGGTACTTAAATGAAAGGTCTCAATGAGTGTAATGTCGGGGTGAGCTTATATCTTTAAAAATGTCAATAGTTCACAAGATACAAGGTCATTTCTTAATTATATATCTAGAGATAGAATATTTTCGAATGCATCCAAATAATCATCATAAATTGACGGTGAGAATGATATGAAACCTTTAAAAGGTACAAATTCAAGTCAAGATCTTTGCAATGACACTAAATTTAACTAAAAAAACCGATTTTATCATGACTATCCTGGAGACAAAATTTTTTTTTATTCTCTTAATAATACAATTTACTAATTAAAAACTTACCTCTAAGCTACTTTGAGAATAACTGGGTCTTCGGTGTCTTTGCAGACTCCTAAGTCTAGCATATCCTTCAGCATCCTGCTGGCTCAGTCTTTGAATGCTCGAAACTGGACTAGGTGTCTCGCCTCTCTCTTTAAAATCAGCCCTAAAACCAAAAAACATTTTTAATAAAACCACCAAACAAAAACCAACCAACCAACCAAAAAAAATTAAAACTTACGGAAAAGCATAGCGCTTGCTTTCAATATCCGTAGCAGCGCTTTCAGACCTATTTCTCGTCCTCCGAATGGTGAGATCCGGAAGCTCAGGTTTCCCATCACTCAAGCTACGATGGTGCTTTTGTATCGGCACCGGGCTCGGTATAGTATTAGGATTATTCTGAGGAATAACCGGCCAATTATCGCCTCTCCTATACCTGACACACGGCCAATGAAGCGCCGTAAGCGCATCCGCGCCAATACGGGTTGTACTGATAAGACTCAGCGTATAAAACGCTGTCGCACGGACCGAATAATGACTGCAAGATTCAGCAATAGACGTAATCGTTTCAATAATACCCAAATTCTGAAGCTGCTCCACTCCAGCTGGGGAAGTACCAGCATGACCTAGAGCCCAGAGAGCCGACTTGACCTTCAGCAATCTATCATCAAAGCTGATGAACTGCTCCGGATCCTCTCGGTAGTAGCTCCTCTCAGGTGTCGTCCGCTGAGAGTCATCCATGCTCAACTTCCTGCGCATTTCTACAAAGGAATCCGCCTTGCGAGGCGTTCGACACTCGCTGGTCTCCATAACTTCCGAGTCAATGATCGTCTCAAGACGATTGGTGGACTCTGCGATGTCCTCAGTCCCCGATTCTTCCGACATAAAGTGGGCATCGTCCATTGCACACCTGGGAGTGCTTTTAGTCACCTTAGAATTCGAATCCACGGTATCAACATTGCTGATATCCGTTCTGAACCTTTGAATAATTCTCGCGAATCGCTGGAGGACATTTCTTCGCATGATCAACTGGATACCCGACTCATGCTGGACCAGCTGACCAATCAAATGTGAAGGAATGAAAATATCCCTAGGCATCAATACCATATTGGTAGATCTTCGCATGTAAATGCCATTTTCATCGCGCTGACGGCGCGTCAGCGAATCATGAATTTCTCCATCAATAAGCTGGACGTAATTCTCAGCAAACCCACCGGGCTTGGTCCACTTTTCCAGCTCCTCAACGTGAGACGGAAGCTTGGTAAAACTAGCTGGCAAAGCGTAGAGACGAATAAAGAGCAAGTAGCCACGAACTCCTAAATGCTCAAACCACTTGTCCCAAGCACGGCTATTTACCGTCAATTGAAAAAAAGCCTCCAGGTACTCTGGATCTTCGCAAATTTCGTGCATCGCCTCCAACGCTGCTAACGCTATTAATTTACTCTCATCAACAAGCCGGTCTACCAGCAAAGCTAAGGCCCATTGGCATGCATCAGTCATTTTAGCCCTGAGAATAAGACGCAAAAATTGTGTCGCGTACAATCGCGTTTGTTCAAGTGACGCAGTTGATATTATTTTACTTAATACTTTACGATTAAGTCCTTCTCTCGAGTAATCGAGCGTTGAAATAATAAGCTTAACATAACAGTCGTGGTTGGTTGTTATTGCCAAAGTTTCAAGTTTTTCCAATAAATTAAAACTCTTAAGAATAACAGTACCTTTTGCAGAGTGACTCAATTGTCCGAGAAATAAAAAATACTTTTGACAACAAGTTGTTGTCATATGACGAGGAGAAAAAAGACAATCATGAGCACTAGGTGCGGTGCTTATTGCACTTATTTGTTTAGCAATATCATCAATCAGTTCGTTTAATAGTCTAGTACCTTCTAGCTCTTGCATCTCCAGGAGGCAATTTACTAAATCACAACCAGCTAGTGTCGCATTGCGGGCTAAAATTGCATTAGACATTAATTCAACCCGGCTGAATCCATTTGACGAGGGGATAAAATAATTTACAAGCCGTTTTATAAATAATTTGTGGTCGGAATCGTGAGGAATGTGAATTGAATCTTCACGCGATCTAAGGATTGTACAGATAACAGACCAATTCCAACCGTGGACGTCTTTAGTGCTCAGTACGTGTGATTCTTTTAGCAGAGGTGTGGTGGATGAGGATCTTTTCAGCCAGTTTGTTTTGCTGGACACCATCTGACTGCGAAGAGGCACTGAAGATTGCAACCAAGAGCCGGGCTGACGAAACCGGTCGAGGAACAAGCTTGAGGGTATCGGCTGTCGGCGCATCATCACGTGCATTCTGCTGAGGATTACCAGCGCTCCAAGAGCTTGGTGGTTCCCGCGACTGGCGTGCTCCAGAAGACCGGGCAAAGGCGGAGTGAGGTAGCAGATCTCGGGAGGAAGAAGAGTGTGAGATAGGTGCAACAACCCGCCAAGTAATACCGCAGCTCGGACAGATATGAATGTGTCTGATGTGACTATTGTCTCCACTAGCGCACAGGGCAGTCTGCATTCTAGTAAAACGTACACGAGAAGTGATAAATGGAGCTCGGTGATGTTCGGACATCGCAAAGCGAGAGACGGCAGTACTGATCGTCCTTCAGCGGCAATAAATCCTTCTGAGAGTTTCCAGCTCTCGCGGTGCCGGCAAGGATCCACTGCAGCTAGAGCGACATCTGGCTCATCAGTCCACATTGGTAGAGGAAGACCCAGGAGCTCGTAGAATAATTCTAGGACTGCGCCACGCACTTCAAGCTGCTCTACGTGCATTATGTCTATTACTGCCTTCAACCCGGCGTTGTCATTCGGATTACAGAAGTGGATTATTCCTGCGTAGGAACGCAGGACACTTAACAATGCGTGTTTACTTGCTGTGAATCTTGTTTCGCGGTGGTCTCTTGTCTTGTCCTTTGCTAGAGAGTGTAATTCGCTGTAAGGCGCGGCTAGGGACATTAATGAAACGCTGAATCTTGTTTCTGGGTGCGATAATAGACCTAAAAGAATCCCGACGATACACTCGATCATTGTGGGACTGAGGTCAGTCATCACTGCTCTGGTTATTGCCCCGACACCTCCGCAGCTTATAAATAAATTTGTATTTAATACTCCTAATTCACAGAGGACAGCTAGAAATGCGTGGAACAAACGGTCTTTTTCCTCGTAGCCGCCGTTGGTTAGACTCACCAGGCATCTTCCTATTGTAGGCACTATGTGTTGAGGCGCTAACAGCATTATCCTTCTTACTAGTTTTAACGCTTGAATTCGCTCCATTTCATTTTTTAAATTTATATCCATACTTCGAACTATAAATACTGGATAGTGAATTTTGTTGAAAGTTAAGACGTGTTGTTCGTTTTTTAATAAGTGTCTTACCGCTCGCAGAGATGCGGCGCGTACTTGGGTTGCTTCTTGGTAAAGTCCCACCTGTAAGCTGATGGGAAATAAAATTAAATTAAAAAAATTATTTAATATAGAAAATTTTAGATTATTGGTAAAGTTCAATTTTTATTTTTATTTTTCTTTCTGATTGTTTTCATAAAATGCTATACTATGTATTATCTTTGTATGGACGGCCGCAAGAAGTTTCGACTTCATGGTCGATGAATTAAGAAATAATGATAATAATAAAGTAATTTAAAGGGTTGAGTATTGCAAGTATCTGGGTGAAAAATTATCATGTTAAAGAATTTATGAAATAATAATAGATATGTAAATTTATTATTGCATAAATTGCCGGAAATAATAGACTCAAAAGCTTCAAAAGTAATTTATATTAAAGTATATTAAATTATGGGATTATCGCTAATAATTGTGCGATAAAACGGCTTGCCTCAATAATATCAAGGATACAAAATAATATTTTATTATCACTTGGATTATTTATTCTTACTTACTACTTACTTGGTTAACACACTACTTACTTAGTTAACTAATTATTTGTATTAATTTCATAAATGTATTATATTTTTCTGGTGTCTGACTGGTGCTTTTTGCACCTCTATAGAATGTTTACCAGAAGTAAAATAAATAAATAAATTAAACTTCAAAATCTCGAAGAAAATTGATGAATTAAAAAATCAATATTTTAAAATAAATAAACTTGAAAATTAGAGAATCTAACAAATGTAATCTGCAAAAAAAAGTATGACTAAGTGCATGACACAATGAATAAATTTTAAGGAGATTTCCGGTATGATTTTATCCTGATAGCTTTATTAATAATCTCTTGATATTGTTGAGACCTTAAATTCTACAAAACATGATGTGTATTTTGTAGTGTAAAGATATTAAATAAATATAATTTTTTCACCCGAAAAATCCGAGTAATTATTTTATAATATTTATAATAATAAAATATTAAATGTATTAATAAATGAAATTGATTTAAATTTAATTCTGATTAAATTCTAACGAAATGTTAATGCTTTTTTAGTTTTATTTTCTTTTTTCACCTAAAATTAAACTAAATTTACTTTATGTAAACCTAATGTATAAAGCCGATTGGCGTTTGAATAAATAAATAAATAACATCTTACCAACGCAAAATGACCTCAATGTTGTATCCGAAATCACCGGTATCATTTTCATCAATAAGCCGCACAAATGCATTTAAATAAGTTAACTTGAGACAAACTGACACTCCATGGGTACAAATGTTGGTCAAAACTTCTTTGACGTTTTCTTTGAGTCCTATAAATAAATTATTTGTGTAATTAAATATTTATTTATTTATTTATTCCTTTAACGTACAATTTTTAGGAGTATCTCCTTGATGTACGGTACAATACAATTGACTAGGTATATATAGAATTATCATATGTTTAACAAACTACATTACACATTTTAAGATATATATTAAAAAAAAAAAAAGAAAAAAAAAATTTGCGCATTTCAACAGTTAATACATATAATTTGGAGAAATGAAACACTTAAAGTATTATAAAATATGCAAAAAGGAAGAACATGGACAAGAATAAATGTAAAGTGTGTCAGATATTCAGAGACGAACTATTACTATTTCTCAAAGTGATAGCTTCGCAGAGGTATGCGTGTAGCACCTTGGTTGATGATAGAGAGTCTTCTGAGATTATCGCAAATATATTAGGTGAAGAGATGTCTGAGGGCCACCAGGCCTGCATGTATCTATGCCTTAGAAGATCATAAGCGAGTCATTCTGCGGGTATATGATCAAAAAGATGACACTGCGTGCATATTCGCTCCGGATTATCTTTGTTGGCTTGTATCCATGTGGACTTCCCAGTTGTGAATTTTCCCGAAAGAGCTTGACTATTTGAGTGTCTCCATGTTTCACTTATGCATACAATACTATGGTTGAGAGATGAAATATCTGGAAGATTAACTATACCACGGCAGTTCCAAAAGGTTATGATCAGCGGATTTGTAAGAATTTGACTTGTTTCCTGTAATTGCTAAGCGCTTTTCTTGGAATAAGAAGCATTATTTGTGTATTGTTGGGATGAACTGTGTTTAAGCGGGACGATAGCTTCTAGGTGTATGTCGTATGTATAGTCAATACCGTCCACCGTGATCTTGAGGTTACTAGTTTTAACCTTTTTGTTCAAAAGTTTCAAACGGCGAGATTCATCCCTTAGTTTCTTGGAGATAAGACTTTCTTGCGGAGTTAGATCGTGGTTTATGTACACCGGTGGTTTTAGTTTGCTTTTTTTTTTTTATCATGATTTCCTTCTTAGTTGTCCCGTCACGTATAGTAGCTTTGATAATATCGTTGTTCTTGCCAATCACTGTGGCGTTGGTGATACAGTTGATGATACCTAAGTTGGCTTGGATGTAGTTACTTAGGGTTTTGGAGGGGTTGCCATCCTGTACCTGTAAACCTTTGACAATAACATTATTTTTGCGAAGTTACTTTTCAACCGCGTTTGCCGAAGCAGAAGCTATCTTATCATGTAGAGAGCGGGAAGTTCCCTTCGGCGAGGTTATACAATTGGCTGAAGAGGATTCTAGGATTTTGATGCGAGCTTCTAAGGATCCAACAGTTTCTTTTAGTTCAGAATTTTCTTGCCTAAGGCTTTCTATCAAAATTTGGAATTCCTTGGTAGTCTCCTTGAGGGAATCTTCAATTTTGGTCGTTAGTACCTTTTCCAGCAATTTCAGCTGCGATGATGAACTTTTGCTCATCTCGTCGAGTTTTTTGAGGATCACTGATTCCATGGTAGTTAAAGAATTTAAATTACTAGAATCCGGGTGTGAGCCTTGGTTTGTTGGAGATAAAACCTGCCTGGAGATTTTCTTTTTTGGGTGTCCTGTAGGTGAGTGGGTGAATGAGTCTTTTTCACTGCCTCTTTTGGAGCTCGCAGGAGACAAATAATTTAATATAGAGTTTGTCGAGGGTGTTCGATCCTTACTCCAAGCTTCCGCTTTAGAAGGTCTTCCTCTTGATTTTGCTTGGATGTGCTCTTGGAGTTCTGTGCAAGTTTCCTGGCACTCCGATGGTAAGAATTCAAATGCAGACGGGTTAAGAGCAAAGTTTTTGAGAAGAGCCGGAGGAATAAATTCAAAGATGTAATCGGAGAATCCGTTTCAGAATCTGATGAGTCGGTAAGCTTTGCCAATAAATTACATAAAAGTAGTCCTTTGAAATGACTGGCCACGTGCAAATTCCAACCTCAAAAATCACGTGCTCGGGTGAAAATAAACCTTATCTCCGGTAGCACAGTTTCACAGCAAGAAAGTTTCAAGTAAAAAGAAAGTATTAAGAGTAATGAGAGTAAATTGTATAAAAAAAAATATAACTCTTCGAATTGACTGATCACGTGTGAAAACCAACCTCAAAAATCACGTGCTTATGTAAAAATAAGCCCAGTCACTAAATAACACAATTTCACAGCCAAAAAGTTATAAATAAATAGTAGTGCAGCGATAAGAGTAACAAAATTTAGTAATTACGAAATAAGAAGGTAAATTATTTAAAATAAATAGACAAAATTACACAAAAACACTAAGACGTAAAATTTGAGCGATGTGTGCTGTGCGAGCGCCACCTAGCCAATCTCGTGTAATTAAATAAATAAATTCGATTGTTGTAACTTGTGATTGATGACAGGTGATATTGATGTTTATATATAAGATATATTGGTATTAAAGTAAAGTTACTAAACAAACCTTTTGAGGGGTCTAGCTCGGCGATAACCTCTTGCTCGTGACGACCTAAAATTTAATTGTAAGTTAAGAAGAAATATAATTAAAATTTTATTAAAGTAAACAAATAAAAAATAATACTGACTGCGGTGAGGTCTACTTGACCTGAGACTCCTACCCCACATCGTCCAATTGGCCATTTTCGCGCCGGTCGCTATCCACGATCACTATTTATGTTTCTAGTCCGTTTTAAATAATCAGTAACCTCGTAACAAGTCATCTTCATCAGTATGAAGCACTAAGAATGTTCAACTGTTGGTGATGAATCCTTTAAAACTTAATCCAAACGTCACTATATTAACAGAAACTACTGGTAGTACTTATATGTGTAACTTTAGCTACAAATTACGTGTTTGTAGATGTATTTACATAGGTATAATCATTTTATAAATGTAGACGTCAAATATATAAGTCAGTTTATATACAAGCTTACAGGCTTACATCTGTATACATATAATAAGTACTTACTTGTAACTTGTGTATATTTATCATAGTATGTAGTACTATCTCTTGATTACGATTGGTTGATTGTTGTGTAGTTTTATTTTGCCAGTTGGAGCATATTTTCAGCGATGAATGAAATTAAGTTAGTTGCTTTTCTCTCTGACAGGTGGCGCTGAAAGATCATTGGTTAGTTACCGACGACTGGCTCTCTAGTCAGCAAAAGTGCAAAAGTCACTGATAATTTTATAACAATATAATAAATAATTTTTAAGTGAATTGTTATTAAATAATCTCAAAATTTTATGACATTAAAGTTAACAGTCACTTGATAATTTTTTAATTTTATTTGTTATAAATTTTTTCTGAAAAATTATTTTTAAAAAATTGCATTTATGATTTTTTTTAATTTCTACATGTCATTTTTTTTTCATATTTTTTTTTTTTTTCATAATTTATGTGAAAATTAAGTTAGCCGACATTTAAAAATTTTTAGAATTTTTTTTTTATTGAAAAAATCATTACAGAAAAATAAAAAAAAAATTTTCATTTGTATAAAAAACTTGAAAAACTATAAGTGCAATTTTTTAAAAATATTTTTTAGTTCTAATTTAATAAATGAAAAATAATCAAAAAATTTAAAATGTCCGCTAACTTTAGTATTATATATAATTTATTAGTTAAAAAAATTCTAAAAATTATTAAATATCTGCTAAACTAATTTTCATTAAAATTTTTGGATTGTTTTTTTTAAATAATTAAAACACAAATTTTGAAGAAATAAAAAAAAAAACTTTTTTTTTAATTCTAAGTATTCGTTGAATGTAATTTTATAAGTAAATTTTTCCTACTAATTTATTTATTGAAGACAATAACACTGAAGTTAAGAAACATTAGAAATTTTTTTATAACTCTATAGCAATGAAATTATTATGAAAAAAATTTAATAAAAAAATTCCACTTGTGAAAATTAAAAAAAAGTTTTTAATAATAATAAAGTTAGCCGACATTTTTATTTTGCTTAATTTATTAAATTATAACTAAAAAATATTTTTAAAAAATTGCCTTTATAATTTTTGAAGTTTTTAACAAATGAAAAATTTTTTTTTTACTTTTTTTCTAATAATTCTTTAATATAAAAAATTATAAAATTTTTTAGATGTCGGCTAATTTTATTTTCATTTTTTTTTTTTATTGTAGTTGATTTGTTATAAAATTAATAGTATTTATTATCAATTGATTATTATTTATTATTTATAGATAATTTCGTTCCTTGTAATTTTCATGTCAGCAGCCCAAAAAAAATAATTGAATTAAAAAGTTTCTTTTATCAGAATAGAAGAATAATTTTCAATGACATTGAAGATAAATGTCTAAGTAACGCCAGATTACTGCGTTGGAATGAATTAATCGGTGAAGACAAGTTTAATTTCTGTGAGTAATCATTTCCGGATATACGAGATGTTACTGTAGTAGTGATATAATTTATTCATAGATTACTTTACCATATAAGCCTATTGTGCTTAATCACCAGAGATAAGATAATGTTAAACTAATTCAATGACAATTATTGATAATATTGAAGCCAATAATTAAATTATTAATTTTCTTCAACGTTTTATATTTTTTCAACTCCTGTTCTCAAGAAGAATGTTGAAAATCTACAATAATATGTTTCTTCTTTGAAAAGTAGTAAGATTAACATCCATGAGTCGTAACTTAAAATTCTAAAGCTTCTTCGATTTTGAATTAAAGTTATGAACAGCTGTTTGCGAACCATACAAGAACTGAATGAGAAACATTATCGGTAACGATCAATATTTATAAGGAATTCAGAATTCTAGCTTTTGGGGAAGTTTCCTAACGATGATGTCATACAACAAAAGCATAAAAAAAAAGTTTTCTAGTCAATCCCATACTTTTCAATACTTTTTTCTTTGTCTCAATACTTTTTTTTATTCAGGGTAGTCCCTAGTTGTCGTTTCAGGTCATGAATGTCGTCGGAATAATAATTAAAATAATACACAGTAAATTTAAAAATTCTAAAAATTTATTTTTATCACATATACTTATTTTTATCACATGTATTATTTGCTCTTAATATACAAAATGTCCCTGATTAAGAAATCTAATTTATAATAATTCAATCTATACAAAGTGTATAACTTCGTATTAGCTAACTCAAATAATTTTGAATCGTTTTTAATAATTTAAAATTAAATTTTTTAATTAGTGACATTATTACATTCTAAACATTAAATTTTTTCTACTAAAACAGTTGTTAAATAACGTAACATTAGCATATTATAAATATGATAACAATTGTAATCAAAAAAGCTATTGTATCTTTGATTTCGGAGCTTAATTGCAGTACTTTGCAATGAAATTGTGCCATTAGAATGATATTCTGAAATAGAAATATCCATAGCACAAAATACTGCAGAAATACCAGTACCAGAACTGCAGTGAACAACAATAGGCGGCTTATAATTAGAATTATTTAACCGCAACAAGTCTTTTTTAAAAGCACGATTAATTCTTCTTACAGCCAATATGAATTCAATAAATTCAACAGATTCATGAGCGGATAAAATTTTTGAGCAATCTAAACGAGTAATATGAAGCATTTCATGAAGTTCTCTAGTCCCATCAGTAACATTTAGCAAGGTAACTTTATAATTGTTATGGGTCATGATTTTAATCGTTTTAATTCGAAATTTTTGAACAATTTTGACTCCTCCTTCGTAGGGGTCCCAGTACCTATAAAACTGCTCTTCATGTAATTCGTCAGTATCACACAGCATGACGATGATGCGTGTGCGGTGTAGCCATATCATTTTCCAAAACTGGTACATCGTCTTCCTCAAAGGGGCTTCAGTACAGATGAATTTTCTCTTCTGCGCCCACCCATCAATGTAACTCGCATTGATGTAATCACCGGATGATCCGTATTCTACCGGAAGAAGCACTCTGCTATGATCGTAGCAAAACCTGTTGGGATTTTCGTACTCCACTCGGTTCTGTCTCAGCTGACAAGCGTAAAAAGTACCGAAGAACTTTTCTTCCCGCTTTATTTCGTGATATTCCCTGATTAATGTCCTCGCAAATTTTGGATTCTGCATCAATTTTATAAATCCTTCGCGATCCAGAGACTTGGATTGATTACACCCCATTTTTAAAATTCACAGTCCGCAATTATTATTTTTCACAAGCTCAGTCTTTCATGAAGTTCTATTACTCACTGATATAGTAGCCAAAACGAAATCGGGCTCCGCCCACTAAAAGCTTCCACAAGTCTAACCCTAACCTGTCTTATGGCTCGCGTTAGCTTTTTGGTCAAAAATCGGTTCTGTGCCGGTCAATTTGTACCCCGTGTTAATCGCAATAAGACTTGCGCTTACTTTTTGCGAACATAATCTAAGTATCTACATAAGCATTTCTAAGATATCAAAAAATATCCCTCGCAAACATTTTATGTGCATACTCATAGGAAGTCTATATGAAGATAACTAAAAAATTTAATTCATTAACGCTTATAATTTTTCACTTCTAACATCCGGATATATGATAAGCTAAGTAGAATAATTAATAGCTATGCATTTTATCTAATCATCAAATGATTTATTTACAAAAATGACTATTTTTTAGAATTTTATCAATTTTTTAATATTATCTTATATTTATTATTTACACATAATTAGGCGCTTAAAATTAATATGCAATTATGTTAAAATATCTTAATTTTTTTTTTAAATGTCCAAAATTAATTTTTTTTTTTTTTTTTTTGTTTAATTATGACACTAAAGTTGACAGAAATTAGAAATTTTTTTATAATTTTTTAGCAATGAAATTGTTATAAAAAATATTTAATAAAAATTTCCACATGTGGAAATGAAAAAAAAGTAAAAATTAACTTGGCAGATATTTAATAATTTTTGTAACAAATAAATTATTGCAAAACAATGAAAAACAAAAAATTGATATTTAAAAATTAAAAATTTTTTTAAAAATAATTTTTTAGAACAAATTTTTTTGTTAAATAGAATTGAAAAATAATCAAGTGACTGCTACCTTTAATATAATTAAAAAAAATTATTAGTAGAAATTTTTAAAAGTATTTTTATTATTGAAATTGATTTGTTATAAAAATTTTTGACAGCTGACAGCTAACTTCAGTATTATGTTTATTACTATCCTGCTCTAACAACTTTTGGCGGTATTTTTAAACTTGACCACTTACTTGCTACCAGAGCGCCACCATATTTTGACGCTTGTCACAGACACTTGCATACATACATACATACACAGAACGGTCGTCACTCTTGTTACCTCCATACATGAGATGTATACATACATTATATATTTTGAATATATATTTCAGATAAATCTGGAATCATCTGACACATAGTATACCGTCTTCCGCCATCGATCGTATGTTTTGTTATAATAATTAAAAATAATTGCATAAGCTGTTCGATGATGTACGTTAAAGTGATGATTAAATAATAACAAACAAATATTTATGTTTAGTACCAATAAATTCCGTTAATTATTAATTAGTTTACGATAACAAGCACTATTGCACATTACACGTTAATAAAATAGTAAACATGACGACTGCATTGTACTTAGAACATTACTTGGACAGTAAGTATAGATTTTAAGTAAACAAACGGAACAATAAATAAAAATAAAAACAACTAATGATTAATGAAAAATAATTCAACAGGTTTAGAGCATTTGCCGATAGAATTGCAGAGAAATTTTGGGCTGATGCGTGACTTAGACACTCGAGCGCAAGGGCTCATGAAAGACATTGATAAACTTGCTGATGATTATTTGAAAAATATTAAAAAAGACTCCAGTGAGAAAAATGAAGGCCAGTTACTTCATATTCAAAATTTATTTAGCAAAGCTAAAGAGTACGGCGATGACAAAGTTCAATTAGCGATACAGACTTATGAATTAGTTGATAAGCACATTCGTAGACTAGACTCCGATTTGGCGAGATTCGAAGCTGAGATCCAGGACAAGGCGCTAAATAACAACCGAGTAGCTGAGGAGAGCGGTGCGAGTAAAAAAGGCAGGAAGAAATCGTTGAAGGAAAAAGAAAAACGTAAGAAAGGAACTGCTGGTGCCAGCAGCGAGGACGAGTCCAAGAGTATTAGGAAGAAGCAGAAGAAAGGTGGCTCTGTGTCTTCGGCTACAACAGGTGCTGTAGGAAGCGGCGCGCAGACTGATGCCTCACTTGGGCATCCAGCTGACGTTCTAGACATGCCTGTTGATCCCAATGAACCTACTTACTGTCTTTGTCATCAAGTTTCTTATGGCGAAATGATTGGATGCGATAATCCTGATGTAAGTCTTTTTATCATACTAAAATTGAGAAATTCTTGACTATTTTTTGACTAATAAATTATAAAAAAAATTTCATCTTTAAAAGCTCTAAAAAATTTGGAGTGCAATTTTTTATTAATAATTTTTTAGACCTAGTTTATTTTAGACATTTTTTAATTAATAAATTATAAAAAAAATAATTTATTTTTAAAATTCCATCTTTAGGAGTTTAAAAAATTTTTAGTGCAATTTTTTATGAAATTATTTTTTAGACCTAATTTATAATTCAAGAAAAAGGTAATTAGGGTCAACTTTATTTTGGGCCATAACTAGATGAAAAATTAACATTTTCAAATTTTTTTTTATTCTACTTATTTTTACGGCGCATTTATGATAAAAAATGCCAAAATAAAGATTTCGATAGCTTTTTTGCCTTCAAAAGTTGGAAAAAATTTTGGCTTTCATGTTTTTGGATAAAATTTCTATTTTATCTTTTTTTGATGTTTTTATGATTAATGTTTTGATGTTTTTGATGATTAAGTGTATGAAAAATACATTATTTTTTTTGTCTTTTTCAGTGTCCAATCGAATGGTTCCATTTTTCATGTGTTGGATTGACCACTAAGCCCAAGGGTAAGTGGTACTGTCCGAAGTGTACTCAAGACCGTAAGAAAAAATAACTTTTGTAAATTAACAACAGTGTAACACACTTATTAATTTTCTAAAGTCTTCTCTCGGCAGGATTGATAAATAAATTAAAAACAACTCATTTTGATAATGAAAAAAATGAGTACTAGGTAGAAATGAAATGAAGTTATATAAAATTGATATAACTAATTAGTTAGGTAGTTAGTTTAGATAATTAATAAATCGCATCTTTTCAACTGAGACTGCGTTTGCATTGCATTCAATGTGAATATATTTATGTGATTAGTTAAGAAATATATATTATTATATATGCCTATCAATTATTGCAATGGTATTACAAAGTATTTATTTTATATATATATATATATATATATATAATATTCATTAAGAGTGTAATGCAAAAACAGTTTTGTTAGGTTTATCGCAGATTTATTTAAAGTTTTGAGAATCGGCCAATTTATTTAATAATTATAATTATCATGAATTGAATTTTTTACTTTATTTAAAAGTTTAAATTTTATTTATTAATATTGCAAATGTAAGTCTATTTAGTTATTAAGTTTATCTAAGAATTTTATACTCAAATGGCCGATTTTTGAACGTCTGTGATTAACCAATTGATCATTGAAGTAAATAGATAAATAAATGAATTAGATTATGGAATTAAATAATTAAAAAAGTGTATTTAATCTATAATCATATAACTAACTCTTTACAATTGTATATACATTATTATATGTGTTTATTAATTAACTAGTTTAAATACTGTTTTTATATTTTATAAATCAACTAATTAAAATAATAATATTAAAATACTTATAATAATTAATTAAGACATTCGCAGCAGTCTTGTAATATAAATATTTTTTTTATGTTTTATTTAAATGAAATTTTTTTTAGTTATTTATCTCAACTTTAAATAAATTAAATGTTTATTATTTGAGAATGTAAGCATTAATTTTGAACTCTTATTTGAGTTATGTATTTCTTTAAATTCTTTTCATGAGGCAACTAATAAAAAAATTATTTACAAATATTATTGACTAGATTTTTTTTTTCTATTAATAAATAAAATTAATTTATTGCGTTTGACTTTAAAGAAGACAATGGAGGACTAGATTGACTGTAGGCGGTGTTTTTTTTTTTTTTTTTAAATTATCCCAGCTTTACGAACACAACATTGACTGGGTGGAACCGTCCAATTGTAATGATAGCTCATTCTACTTGAAAATTCTTTGCTGCATAAATTACCCGTCATTGTATAGTAATCATGAAGTGCTTTCATACTTTCAGTCGACTGTTTATGTGTTATTAAATATTCATTTGAACACCCACGGGAACGATACTCCGTATCAAATCTTATGTCATGTCGCCGTTCTATGTTTGCTAGCGCCGATAGCCATAAGCCTACCGAAACATCTTCAGAATTAAATAATCTGAAATTTAAAAAGTAATTTTTTATTTCAGTACTTTAAATTATTTTTTCTTTGATAGTTTAATAACACTAAGATTGACGGACATTTGATATTTTTTTGACAAATAAATTATGGCAAGAAAATTTATAAAAAAAAAATTTTTTTTGTTTAATTCCACATTTGAAAATTAAATAAAATTATTAATGAAAATTTTTTGAAGCATTCTTTTTAATGTGATTGATTTGTTGTAAAAATTAAAAAATGTACAGTTGTCAGCTAACTTTAGTATCATATTTATAATCTCTAAAAAATTATAAATACAATTTTTTTAAAATAAATTTCTGGACCTTATTTTTGAAGAAAAATAAAAAAACTGTCGAGTGTCCGCTAATTTAAGTGTTATTATAATTTGTCATACTAAATATGATATTTAAATCAGCAGACATCTGAAATTTTTTTTATTCTTTATTATAAATCAATTATAAAAAAAATATTAAAAAAAAAAATTGCACTGTAATTTTTATTCATTTCTAGAAGTGAAATTTTTTAATTAAAATTTTTTTCACAATAATTTAGTCAATAAAAATTAATAGATGTTTATTAATTTCAGTCTCATAAATTAAATAAATATTATAAAAATTTACCTTAAACTATCAACATTAATAGCAATATATTTTACAAGATTATAAGACAAAACATATCCACCGCCAACAGCATACGGCAAATAATGATCACAGAGGTTCCATTCAGTCTCTTTCCAGGCACCGAGCCTTTTAACTTGAGCTTTTCCATTAAAAAACCCCCAGTAGAGTTCCTTTCTGTAGCCTTTAGCTTCCCAGGTGTCAAGATTAACCAGCAATTTATGGAGCACGACGAAGGAATCGTCGTCTACCTTCAGCAAATAATCAAAGTCATACAGGTCGTAAATTCTCTGAAACGACTGGGAAACTTTTTTGGTCAGAGTTCCATAAGCGTCGCGCAGTTTCGGCAGCAGAAGCAAGTCTTTGAATTTTGCTTGCTCCGATTGCAGTGTCTCGTAATTCTCTAATTCGATATTCTGCGTACCGATTGCAAATAGATGCTTCACGTTGTCATTCTTCTCAGACAACCAGGTTTTCCGAATTGTCACTCGCTCCCTCATATTGTCCGGGCTGGTTAGTATTAATATCAACAATCTATATTTTTGTTTCTTCACCTGTGAAATAACACGGAAATTAACACATGACAATTTTTTGATTTTTTTAATCAATAAAAATTATAAGCAAAACAATATTTTTTAATTTTAATTTAATAATTAAAAAAATTAAAAATGTCGGCTAACTTTAGTGTTATAAATTAATTTAGCAGATACTTGATAATTTTTTAAATTTTTGTAACAAATAAATTATGACAAATAAAAAAAATGTTAAAAAATTGGCATGTAAAAATTTAAAAAAATTAAAAATGCGATAAAAAATGGTCTAGTGAGTGCTAACTTAAATGACATACCATTTTTTATTTTATTTAACAAACAAATTTTTTCCGGAAAAATATTTTTAAAAAAATTGCATTTTTAATTTATTAAAATTTCTACATGAAAATTAATTCAGTACATATATTATAATTTTAAGAATTTTTTTAACAAATAAATTATGTCAAAGAAAATGAGAGAAAAAAATTGACATTTAGAAAATAAAAAAAATAAAAAATCCAATTTTTTAGAAATAATTTTTCGGAGCATAATTTATTTGTTACAAGAATTGTTAAATATCTGCTAAATTAATTTTTATGGTTAATTTAATTTTTATACCTGTGAATTGCTGTCATTACTGGATGAAAATCTACATTGTTTAAGTAATAAAGAATATATTAACATTATTATAAATATTACAGTTATTATTGTCACTAGATTTAAACGTATTATTAATTTTTTATTTGACAATCTTGTTAAATTAAACATTTTTATAAAATTGACTATTTATTAGGCGCTTTATTTGTTATTATTTTATTAAAAAATATCTAACGATTTTTTTGAACTCTAATTTTATAAAAATATTTTGCAAACAACTTTACACAACATATACATATTATACACATCAGCTGATCTAGTCTAACATGAAAATTAGACTTTACGAATTGGAAGACTGAAGATGAAAAATATTATTTAAATTGGCGCCTAAAATTTTTAGTAAACAATACTTTTTTTTTTTTATTTTTTATTTTAGTTAGCTTCACTGTTGATGTAAATTATTTATTTATAAAAAGATTTTTTTGTTTATTTATAAAATGACTGACAATTCAGAAGTAGCCAACAATGAAAAAGGTAACCTATGATTAAATAAATTTCATTTAACTATTAAGGTTATTTTTACTCATTTATTTGTAATTAAAATTTGTTTTTTTTTATTGCAGGTAAAAAAAGTGAGGTAGAATTATTGATGGATGAAATTCCTCTCTTGAAAGAATTATTTGAGATTCATTACAAAGTCGGTGAGGGAACATTTAGTAATGTTTACTTAGCAACAATGAAATCTAACTGTGATTCCAAGAAATTCGCAATTAAACATATCGTGCCAACGTATCCACCATCTAGGATTGAACGTGAATTAAAATGTTTGCAAGAAATTGGGTAAATTTTTTTTTTTTTTTATTATTATTATATTTATTAGAGATTAATTAATTTTTGTAATTTTTAGTGGAGCTGATAATGTCGTAGGTGTAGAATTATGTATAAGAAATGGACCGTCTGTTGCCTTTGTGATGCCTTATATGAGACACTATAAATTTTCAGTGAGTTTTTACTTTAATAAATTATTGAGACGAAAATTAAGTTAGCCGATTTTAAAAAATTTTTAGAATTTTTTTTTATGGAAAAAGTTATTGCAAAAAAATAAAAAAAAAAAAATTTCATCTGTAAAAAACTTTAAAAACTGTATGTGCAATTTTTAAAAAATATTTTTTTGTTCTAAATTAATTTAAAAAAAATCAAAAAATCAAAAACGTCAGCTAACTTTAGTTATTATATTATTGAGAGGCATCTGATAATTTTTAGAATTTTTTCTATCAAATATCAATTATATCAAGAAAAACTTTAAAAAAAAAAAAAAAATTCATCCTTGGAAACTTCAAAAAATTTTAAATGCAATTTTTTTAAAATAACTTTTTTGACCCAGTTTATTAAAACAAAAAATCTAAAAGTTTTTCAAGTGTCTTTAAATTATTGTGTTATTGGCAATGATGCAAGTTATTACTTAAAATTAGTTTGGAGCAAGTATAATTTATCAATTTATATTTTTAGGATTATGTGGGTGATATGAACCAAAATGAACTTAAACAGTACATGAGAGCTTTATTAATAGCTTTACGTAAAGTACATTTATTCAATATTATTCATCGAGATGTGAAGCCTAGCAATTTTTTATATGATCGTCGCCATAAAAAGTAAAAATATTTTAACTAGTTTTTTTTTTATTCATTTATTATTCAAACATGATATTAATGTACTCTATTTTTTTTTGCAGGTACTTATTAGTAGATTTTGGATTAGCTCAAAATTATATTGAAGATATACAAAATAATAATAATAATAGTATTAATAGTAATTTAAATGACCACTTTGAAAATTTATCTATGAAAAGAAAGCGTGGTGATGAGGTACTTTAAATTTATCCATTTAAATTCAATAATTGTGACAGATAAAATAGAGTTTAATTTTCTTGTAGAATAACCGACAATCTCAAGCAACACTAAAGAAGTCTATAGTGGAAAGTAAATCTTGCTGCTTTGGAAAACCTCAGGTGTGCTCTAACTGTTTGTTAAAGCCGTCACAAGTTGCTTCGAGAGCTGGTACTCCTGGGTATAGACCACCTGAAGTTTTGTTAAAATATCCGCATCAAACCCCAGGTTTAAAATTGTTTTTTTTTTTTTTTTTTAATTAAATGTTTTTCAATGTAAAAAAAATCAAATTAAAACAATTATTTTATATTACAATAATTAAATAGCAATAGACGTATGGGCAAGTGGAATAATAATGCTGTGCATTCTAAGTGCAACTCAGCCATTTTTTCGATGTCCAGATGATACTACTGCGTTAGCAGAAATGATAACAGTATTTGGTAGTGCAAAAATTCAACAGTGCGCTAATAAACTGGGTAATTTTTATTTTTTATTTAAAAATAATTTTTTATTTTAGTTTTAATTTTATTTATTTTATTAATTTTTTTTTTTTAATTAACGTAGGTAAAAAATTAATTTGTAGTGAAAATATAACAGGAATTGATTTGATGACACTTTGTCAAAAATTGCGCCAAAGAAGTTACAATATTTCCCAACAAAATAACACTTCTAATAACCGAAAGGTATTTTGTTTTATTTTTATTATTTCAATTTAAATTTTATTTTTTTATTATTAATTTATTTTATTATTTTTTTATTATTTCCAAGAATACATTAGCTGAAAATTATCCACCCGAAGCATATGATTTATTGTCACGTTTATTGGACGTAGATTATAAAACTCGCATTTCAGCGAACGACGCGCTCGAGCACCCATTTTTGAAACCGTAATTAAAACTATTAACTAAAATAATTAAAAAACAACTATTTGTAACTAATTGTAAATATTTATTTGTAAAATTCATACAAAGTATGTATATTTTGTATACAATATATATAATATAAATAAAAGCAACAATTTTTTAACAATTGATCATTAGTCTTCATAAATAATCCATTATTTTCATTACTTATTCCTAAAAAAATTACCAGCTAATTATTTAACTTAAGTTAAGATTATCAATAAAAATTATTCAACTGACTCCAGATGATTATCCGAGCTGGGTTCATTAATTTCCTCAGGTTTCTTCTCAATAAGTTTCCACTTAGCAGCAGCTTCCAACGCAGTAGCCGCAACATCTTTAATTTTCTTATTTTTCACATCCTCGCTCTTGATAAGCGCCATGAGAATCTCCATAATATCCGTATCAATAATCTTCGCGGCAGTTTCTTTCGTACTATTAATCATATTCGCCACAATAACAACCCCGCGATGCTGAACATCAGAATTGGGATTAGCCAAAAGGAAGTGAATGGACTCAAGCCAATTTTGACTGTCGAATATCTTCTCGCAAACTTTATTACTAGCCCCAGTGAGCATAGCAAGAGCTCCTGAAGCAGCAAGACTGGTTTCTTGATCCTCATCGCTGGACAAAATCACCAAGTACTTAACCCGATCATTATCACCTTCAAAAAGTTTGATAGCATCTTCACACATCACCAAATTATTAACAACCTGCACCGCAGCCCGTTGGAGCATCAAGTGATCCTCAAACATGTAAAACTCAACCTTAGGGTACGCTCCTTCTTTAAGCATGTGCTTCCTGATAGCATCATTGACTCCAGCGATATTACAAAGCGCCATCAGCGCTTCAAAGTTCTCCAGAGCCGAGCAGTCCTGGCTCAACAAGTTCAACAGCGGTCTGATGACTTCCATGATTCTTTGACCAGGAAAAGCGACTTCTGGGTTGATGGTGATGCCAATTCTGGCCAAGGCTTGAGCAGCTTGCTTCTTTCCCTTCTTGGTTCCATTTAACGCCAAGGGCAGCAGAGCCTTGGCTCCTCCCTGCTGGACCACCATGCCTCTGACTTCTTGCTGGGAGCAAATCGCGTTGAAAACCCGCGCTATCAGCTCCTTGCTGTTGTCACTGTCTGTTTTAGCCAGAGCAACTAGCGCAGTAGTGATTCCTTCTTTTGCCAGGGCAACCAATCGCTTAGTAACAAAGTCCGGGTCATCTAATTCATGCTCCTCCGGTATATGCTGCTTGGCAAACTTAGCAAGCTCCATCATCTCAGGAATAATCTCTTGCTTGTCATAGGCGTTGCATAAATTAACTAGAGTAGTTACGCAGCCGTAGACAACAGACTTATCACCAGACTTAGCAAGCTCGATCATCGCGTGGAGAGCTCCTTTGTCTTCAATTAATTTTTCTTTTACTTCCGCATCAAAGGTCAAGTAAGAAAGACCCTCCACCGCCCACTTCCGCATGTCCTTGTCTTTTTTGGGATTTATCAAAAATCTACGGCAAGCTTCGGCTAATTTCTTCGTTGCTCCATCGGCAAATGGTTTCACTGACGCATCTGTACCGCTTGAGCTTCCTAGTTTGCACAGACCAACCAAAGCACGGACTCTGATGGCGTCATCTTTGGACTGGTACAGTTTTTTTAGGATATTAACACCCTGGTTGATGATCGTAGTCGCTTTGTCTTTCTTAGAAGCGGCTGCTACGATACACTCGCAAGCGACTTTCTGCTGCAAAAGGTCGTCGGTACTGGCCATCACTAGGATCATCTGGAGGATTCCGTCTCTGGCAACGATAGAATTTCCCACGTCAAGGGGACCTAGGAGTAGGGTTGTTATGGCAACGGTGACACGAACTTTGGACTCTACTTCTGGATCTAGTAATTTTTCTTTTATAAACTCGTCGATAGCGGCGCAGAACTTTTCCTTGGCTGCATCGTAGTACATGTTCTCGTAAATTTTGGCCAGGCAAACGCTGACAACTGTACGAGTTGAAACAGTTATGTTCATAGCTGACTCGTATTTGTACTCTTCGAGTTCGCTGGCTACTTCCATTAGTCGCTGGAGACCTCTGATGTTCACCAACTGCTCGGCCCAGTCCAACGCTGAGTAATGCACGTTACGCATTATTAATTCGATAATTGCATCTCTGGCAAGTCCTGTTATTGTACGGTTTGTTGTGGAGTATACCAAGCAGGATAACAGTGTGTCTATTTCTTTCTTGTATTTTTCACAGAGCTCTTGGTTCGGTTTTGCGTCTGGCTTGTTTTCCAATCCGCTGTAACTGTTTAGAACAGTCTGAAAAAAATAAATTAATTAATTAATAAATTACTCGCAACTTTGCAGTCACTATGTGACTTCCGTGACATGAAATATAAATAAATAAAATTTTGGTTTATTAAATAATGACTTTAGTTAAATTGCACTGTACTTTTTTAACTATTGACGTATTTAATGATATAAGCTCATCCCGATGTTACACTCATCAAGAGCTTTCATTTGAGTACCCACATGCATTTTTGATATATTTTTCATATATACGTATATGTAATATATATAAATATATAAAATATATGAAAAATTGATGTGGGTACTTAAATGAAAGGTCTCAATGAGTGTAATGTGAAAGTGAGCTTATATCTTTAAAAATATCACTACATGACAAGATTTAATGTCATTTTTTAACTATTGACGTTTGTAAAGATATAATCTTTATGAAATTATATCTTTGAAGAGCTTTCATTTGAGTATCTACATGCATTTTTGATATATTTTTCATATATACATATATATAAAAATTGATGTGGGTACTCAAGTGAAAGGTCTCGATGAGTGTAACATCAGGATGAGCTTATATTTTTGTATTTATGTATTTAGAAATTTAGTGATTTTTAAAATAAAATATTAAAAATAAATAAATTACCTGCATACAATATTGAGCAACATTAACCCTCTCTTCATTGTTGCTATTAATCATTTCCAAAAACCAGGGTATGCCTATTTCTCGTATACTTATCTCAGTACGTTCAACATTATTTTTGCACAACTCAGCAATTATTCTTATGCACGAAGTAATAATCTCATCATTATTTTTATCAATCTTCAAGAGCTTCAGTATCTTTGTAATAATACCATCTTTGAACATAACTTCTGCGCCAGCACGTTCTCGAGACAGAACCAGCAAATTATTCAAAGCAGCAGCGCGCTTTTCCTTGTCAGTCTCCAGGCTGAACGCGACGTCGAACATCTGTGAGACTTTGGCAGAGGTACGTGAATTTTGACGGAGCCGTTCCTCGACTATTTCAAACAACCGTGCAAGAATTGGCTGAATAGCTTTGTTCGAAGGATCCGAATTAACAACGAAACGTGCATCACGATAAGCTTCCTCGTACTTTCCCAGAGCTTCGTAAGCTTGACACCGTCTAAACAATGCTTTGGGATCACTTGGCGTTATCTTCAAAGCTTCATCACAATCTTTGATGACTTTTTCGTAGTCTTTTTGCTTCAAATAAACAGCTGCTCGGTTTTTGTAGAAAACAGCTTTCTCAGCAGTCTCGTCTGGAGTTATTTTGAGGCCATCTGTGTAGTGAGACAATGCTTCTTCCCAATTACCTTTTTGAAAAGCTTCATTACCTTTTTCTTTTAATTCCAAGGCTGATTGTGTTGTCTTTGTCATTTTTTACTCTGAAAATTTTTATTTAATTAGTTTTATTGAATAATCAAGTTAAAAAAAATTTTTAATGAAAATTAATTTAGTAATTTTATAATAAATAAATTATGGCAAAAAAAAATTGACATGTAGAAATTTTAAAACATTAAAAATGCAATTTTTTAAATATCATTTTTTGGAACAAATTTTATTGTTAAATAAAATTTTAAAAAATTTGCAGTGACTGCTAGCTTTAATGTCATAAATTTTAAATGAAAATTAAGTTAGCCGACATTTAAAAATTTTTTAACTTTTTTTTTTTTATTGAAAAAATGACTAAAAAAAAAATTTCACTGGTAAAAAACTTTAAAAACTGTGAGTGGAATTTTTAAAAAATATTTTTTTGTTCTAATTTAATAATTAAAAAAAAATCAAAACGTTATAAATGTCGGCTATCTTTAGTATCATAAATTTTAATTATTGTACAGAGAATAATTGTCACGCTAAAGATGGTAGATAATTTTTTATACATTTTTTTATGAAAATTAAATCGAAAGGTTTTTTTATTTAAAAAAATAATTTGAAAAATTCTAAGTGCAATTTTTTAAAAATATTTTTTAACTTTTTATTGATTTTAAAAATAAAAAATTATTAAATGTTAATTTTTGTATAATTTTTTTGTTAAAAAAAAAAAAGAAAAAAAATAATCAGCTGTTTAATAATTCCAATATCTTAAATGATCAATATTAAATTATATTATTCAATTAAAATTCATCAAATTATGACAATTAAACATGACACTGGAAGTAGCAGACATAGAGATAATTTCAGAGATTTTATAAATAAATAATAAGGTAAAATAGAACTTAATTAAAAAATATGTTCTTACATATTCAAAGTAAACCTTTATTCCTTCAATTTCACTTTGCTTAGTAAATTTAATTGTCTTAATTTAATTATAAAAAAAAAAATAAACCAATTGTCAAATGTCTGCTGTCTTCCATCTTCAGTATCATAATTAAATTAACTATTTATGAATAAATAAATTATTGATCAAAGCTAATTGTTAAAACCTAAATTAAATAGAGTAATAAAAATAAATAAATACCTTTAATAATTAACAATATAAATAAATACTTGTAGAAATATTGTTTGTAGATAAAACTTGTATGTCAAGTAGCAAAACAGTAACTGAATAGCCCCCAACCGTGCATTACTTTTAAATACTTAGAGAATAATCTAGATGATTCTAGAATCAGCTTCCATAGTTTATTTTAACTCACAATAATGTACATACAAAACTAAAGTCTAAATAAAGAATTGTGCGCTTCAAGAAACCAATTGCATGATGATGATGTACATACCTAGATTATTTTTAGGTTGTGTATTTTATTTTAATATCACTCATTAATAAAATATATATTTTGGTACTTATTTATAGATCTATTAGCACTCACAAATTTTTTTTATCAAACACCAATTAAACAATTATTTTTTAAAGCATTTTAGTCACCATATTATTTTATTTTTTTATTTTTATTAACAATTAAAAATTTCAACTTTAATTAATATTTAAATTTTGCCGCGTTTTTATCTCAAGTTTCATTGGTTAAATTTTAAACCAATTACAAACGAGTGAATTTTGTTTATGTTATTATAGTTGATATAGTTTCTCACAGATGATGTTACGAGTATCAAATTTGATCTTTGGAACATTACACAAACATATTGAATAAAAATAAAAGTAAAGAAAGAGGCAATTTTTTAATGTATTAATTAAAAATATTCCAACTGTATTTAATCTTCACAATGAACTGCTTGAGAACTTTAGGTATATAAATATATATTTTATTTATCATCAGTGTTAATTTATTTTCACCTGTATAGTTGAGAAAAATTAAAATAAATTTCTTTTTCAGGTTTTAGAACAGCTAACAAATTACATGACAGAAGATGGATCGCTTCAATATCAAGTCTCCCTGAAACTCATCGTATGCTCCAAAAAACTGTCAGGTAATTTACTTTAATTTATTTCCTCAAAATTAAATTACACAAATTAGCAGATACTTGTTAATTTTTTAATTTTTCCTAGAAAATTATTAAAAATAAAATAACATTTATTATTTTTTAAATCTTATAAAGATAGAATTTTTTAAATAAATTTTTCTTGGAATTTATTTGTTAAAAAAATTAACATTAAAATTAGCAGTAATTTCACAATTTTATAATTTTATTTAACAAAAAAATTTCTTTGAAAAAATTAATTTAAAAAAATTGCATTTTTAATTTTTAAAAATTTCTACATGTCAATTTTTTTTACATTCATTTATTTCTTAAAAAAATTCTACAATTTATAAAATTTCTGCTACTTTAATTTTCATAAAAAAATTATCAAGATGTCACTCAATTTCAGTATTATAAAATAATAAGTACCGTAATTTCTAATTAAAATTTTTTTTGATAAAAAAAATAAAAAATTAGAGATTTTGCGGAAGCTGAGCTGAAACCAATAGCAGGACAGCTTGATAAAGAGCACAAGTATCCAGCTGACCAAATAAAAAAAATGGGAGAGCTAGGACTGATGTCAATTGCAACTCCAGAGTCTCTTGGTGGGACTGGCTTGGATTACATGGCATACGTAATCGCGATGGAAGAAATTTCTCGGGGATGTGCTAGCGCGGGTGTAATAATGAGCGTGAACAATTCTTTGTACTTGGGTCCAATCGAGAAGTTCGGTACCCAGGAACAGAAAGAAAAATACATAGTACCCTTTACAGACGGCTCGAAGGTTGGATGTTTTGCGCTGAGTGAACCAGGAAACGGATCTGATGCGGGAGCAGCTTCGACGATGGCCAAAAAGGAACCCGATGGCTACCGAATTAGCGGAACCAAGTGCTGGATTACCAACGCTAATGAAGCAGAAGGTATAGTACTGTTCGCCACCACGGATAAGTCCAAGAAGCACAAAGGAATTAGCGCGATACTGGTCGACAGGCCGTCGAAAGGTTTGGAGATCGGCAAGAAAGAAGACAAGCTGGGCATCCGTGCCAGCAGTACTTGCTCGCTGATGTTCGAGGACTGTCTGGTCCCGGAAAAGAACATCCTTGGCGAGCCTGGAATGGGCTTCAAAATCGCAATGATGACCCTCGATGCAGGAAGAATCGGCATTGCCAGCCAAGCACTTGGTATCGCTCAAGCCTCGCTCGAGTGTGCTATCGATTACGCTAGCAAGCGTATGGCGTTCGGAAAGTCCATCATGAAGCTACAGGCAATTCAGCAGAAAATTGCAGACATGGCGCTGAGACTCGAAAGCGCGAGATTGTTAACTTGGAGATCCGCTTATTTAAAAGATACTGGAAAACCTTTTACCAAAGAAGCCGCGATGGCGAAACTTGCCGCTTCTGAAGCTGCTACTTACTGCTCTCATCAGTGCATTCAAATCCTTGGTGGAATGGGATACGTCTCAGATATGCCGGCTGAGCGTCATTATAGAGACGCTAGGATTACTGAGATTTATGAAGGCACTTCTGAGATCCAGAGACTCGTTATTGCTGGTAATATTGCTAAGGAATACGGTGTCTCAGGTTGATTTTTTTTTTCTTTTAATAATAACGCACAGTAAAAAAATTTTCGTCAAATTTAACACAAATTTTTTTGGTACTGTCTTTACACAAATTTTTTCAGGAATTTTTATTGTATGGAGTATGTCAAAAAAAAAGGTGCGTTACTTAATAAAGTAACGCATCAAAAATATCTAATCTTCCTCGAATGTGCTCGAAGAATTGCTGATAGAAAAATAGCAGATCATAATAAAGATACAATGGCTATTCTTAATGAATTATTAGCTGATAAAACGGGGCTCAATTAAGTAAATTATTCTATAATTTTTTTAACCCGTTGAGAACACACATCGATAACATTTAATATAACATTCCCTCTAAATATCTTAATCGTTATTTTTAATTTCTAATAATTTAAAAATACTGAAAAATCGTTTAGAAAAAAAAACTTATGAAATAGAACTTTTTTTATAAAAAAAAAAGCGCAGAAATTTTGATTTTTACGATATCGAAAAAAAACCAACGCCATTTTATTCGGAAAATAATATATTTTAAGGAAAAAAATCAATATTTGATGAAGTTTGAAAAAAATATATTTATTCTGAAGTTTGAAGTTACGAATTTCGGTCAGTCGCTTAAAATAAGAATAAAACATTTAAACATGCAAAATAATATAAAAAGATTTTCTAGTGTGTTAAATCAACACATGAAAATGTGAAATTCTACACACTAGAGTATAATACTCTATACAAAAAGATACATTTATTACACTTTACACAATGACGAAAAATTTTTTACTGTGCGAAATTGATCTCGAAATTTTGATAAGGTTGCGTCAAAAAATTAAATTATTTATTTGAATTTTATTGATAAATTATATCAACAAAATTTATTGAATCGTTTTATTTTGGACATGAGAAATTTTTTATTATTTTCAATCAAGTAAAAGTATTATTGAAGAAATTTTAAGATATATAATTTAATATTTTTAACAGAACCTTGTCCCAATTCTTCGGACTTTTAATTGATATTTCAAGTCATGGACGCGATTTAACAATAACATGAAATTATAATCTTTGATATTATATTTAAATGTAATTTTAAGAGCCAAAAATATTTTTTATACTTATATTGAAAAAAAATTAAGTGTAATTGATCAATGCAATATTTTATATAAATTATCTTTAAGAATAATTTTTATACACGTATATATTTATAGAATGGTTGAATATAAATAATAAAAAAAAAAAATTGTGGAGAAGGAAGACTATAAATAAATCCAGAAGATGCTTTTATATACACATATACATTATATATATGATATTGAAAGATTTCAAGGAATCAATAAACACCTTGTGATTTGCTATAGATACTCTTGAATTTTATTAGCCTCACGATCACGTGACTTTGACATTGTATACCCTATTTTAGATTTAATTGTTTTTTATGTACGTACACTTACATACATTTTATAAGGATTAAATCATCGGAGCTTTGGCAGCATTGCGGTGGGCAAGAACCACAATTTAAACGTTTTTTTTTTTTTATAATTTAATAATTAATTTTAATTTAATTAAGAACAGATAAATTGTTGCTAAAATATGGAATTTATTACTAGGACACATATAGACTTATTGCGCACAGTGAAATTCAATTCAAAATATTAATCACATTTTATTATATTATTTTATTGACGATTTTTTTATTTTCCCGAATTATTAATTTTGTATTAATTATATAAGCACAAGCCTTTTTTATTTAATTAATTAATCAATTAATTAACCTCTGACTATTTTAAAACACTCTAACCATTTATCATTTGAATAATTAATCAACGCGAATTACAACAGCCGCTGGCAAAGAAAATTCAGTTGTTTTATTTAGCATTAAATAAAGTAATTATTGACTTACATATTAATCTATTGAAAAATAATTTTACAGTCAGAGAGAGGTACCTGTTACATATGTTAGTCTGATTACAATTATCATTTTTTTTTTTTTTTTTTTAATAACATTTTATTGTGCAGATGACAATTCCGATCTAATTGTAGACTTTGCTTAACTTTAAATACTGTAATTACCTACATGACTTGTATTGAATAACTTTACTTTAGTCAGTTGATTTGTTAGACCGGTTTAAGATAACGTTAACGTTCCGCTAGCAATAAACGTTTTAAACATAAGCATTAGTTGGCTTAAGTAATTTCAATTTAAAATAATTAACTAATTAATTAATAACTAAATAATTAATAACAGTAATGGTAATAGTAATAGTATTTGTAATTAGTAATTAAATTCACAGAGATCGTAATGTATTCAAATGTATTGGTACCAAGTACTCTCTCATCGGAATGCAAACGAAGCTAATTAACGCACGCATCATCATCATTATTATGTATTTAAATCCCTTGAATTTCATTGTATGCTTCTTATTAATTTTTTATATCCTTCAATAACTTTGTTATTATTATATATATGTACAACGTCTTGCTCTTATTATTTGTTTATCATCATATTTTTTTTTTTCATAATATTCTAATACAGTTCTTTGTTATACTCTCAACTCTTTACTCCATTTAAAATTTTATTTTTCTTAAATCTTTTATTCTTTAAAACTTTACATAATACCCGCGGGTGTAATTAACTCACGCTTAGACGAAGATTAATTTACATTTGTAGTACATTTAAATATCTAAATATTTATTCAATAACTCTAATTTTTTCTCATGAGCCAATCAAAATAATAATAATAATATTTATATTTTTATTCCAAGCAGCCTCGACATTCAAGTAACATTGAAAATTTTTGAAATCTGATTTTTTATTTATTAAATTGATAAATTGAAACTCGCGGATCAAGGGAATTATTTCTTTATCATAAGATTATAATAATAATAATAATAATAATAATTATTATTGTTGCCATCAATACACAAAGACGTAATTTTTTGAAAATATATTCTAACACAATCTTGACACTTTTATTTTTTTTTTTTTTTTTCACTATAATTATTACAATTAATTATGATTCATTTTTAAAATTTGTTTACTTTCATATCGTTGACGTAAGCATGAGCTGCATTGTAACTATCACTTAATATTGTAAATAATATACTGTTATTTAACTTACAATGCTCGTAATAAATGGTAATAAACAAAATGATCAACGATACTAGTAAATTACTAAGGAATTTGCAGAAGCTTACTTGCGATATCGTTTAATCGATTTTATCTAATAAAAAAATAAGAATATGCCCATTACAAAGTTATTAATAATAGCAAAGACATGACACATTATCATGTAAATAATAATAACAATAATAATAATAATAATTATTATTATTATTATTATTTAAAATATTAAAAAAATATGTATAAATTATAATTATTTTGGACTTTTAAATTAGTGTCATTAAAGTAGTTATTAGTAATACAAGAATCAACTGTTTTAAAATTTTTAAAATCATTGATGATTAACATCCTTGTCCTATTAATTTGCTTTCGTTATCAGCTCGATTGCCAGTTAACAAATGTCCATAACTATTACTAACTACTCTACACTATCAATTAATTATCATTAATAATTATTTATTCAATTGATTAATTAACTATATTTGTATCGACATTTTAAATTTAAAACTCAACTTTTGTGTACGTGGATGTGTATTACATTTATTATTTTTTTTTAGCATCATTTAAACTCTTATTACTCGTACTAGTATTGATCAAACGACCTTACTAGTGCGTTATTAATCATTACTTCTCTTTTCTCACGTCTCGTTACACAATTGTAATTGAATTAATATTAATCATTGACTGTAAATACATTTATCTAATACGTTTATTATTTTTTTTTTTTTTTTTTTTTTTCATTTTAATAATTCGTAAATTGTAAATAAATTAAAATATAATTAATTGTTATTAGACACTGATAAATATTTATATATTTATATATCTAAATAAAAGTTTTTTTGAGGAAAACTGTCTTACGTGAAAGGGATCACTTTGTGGTGGACCGAACAATTATTAATAGTAATACATTCGTTAAGATATTAATTTTTTTACATTTTTTTTTTATTATTTATTCTTATTCTCTCTCTCGCTCGCTCTCTCTTTCTCGCTGTCTTTTACTTCTTTAAATCATTCTCTCGGTGTCTAATATATTGAGGATAGGGAAAATAAATTTAAAGTTATTTAAAAGTAGCTAGACACTTCGACCGTGGGTTCATTCATCAGCTCGCATACCGCGTACTTCGCCTTCGTGTCTTTGCTGTAATAAAATAAATAAATATTTTTAAATAAAAATAAAAACAAGCTGAGATTGAGCAGTAAAAAAATAAGAGTTAAAATTGATCAATAAATCAGTTACCCTGTCGAGTTCTTCCTTGGTGTTGTCTTCAATTGCTCGGATGTCTTCCATTGTTAGTCCGTACCAGCGGTCTGTCCAGCAGAAGACCTGCCTATGGAAGTTGGTGAAAAGACGTCTCTCGGCTTTCTGGATGAAACTCTCAACACGGGTTTGCAATCCAAACCATTTAAATTCACATGTCACGAGTTTGTAGCACGTCATAACCGGTGACACATTGTTCTTCCAGTCCTTGCCAACCAGCGGCCCTCGACCTGTTTTCTCAGACTTAAATTTCGTTGGGTCTTCGTCTTCCTTGTAGTCTGCGCTGTTTATCGGGTCATTCGCAATGTCTATGTGTACTATTTCACGAATTTTTAATTTTTCTGGAGGTAATTCGTGGACCTACAGATAAAAATATAGAAAAATTTATATAGAATAATTATTAGAGTGTGCCAAATTTAAAATTCAGTGATGGACATCTTAAAATTGGAATTTTGAGTTCCGCTTTTAACAGGAGTTTAGTTTCATATAATTTTTTTTGTTCGGCCAAATTTTGAAATTTTTTAATTTCAGCAAAAATGCCTAAATAAAACTCCTGTTAAAAAATTCTATTTTTTAACTGAGAAAAAAAAAAATATTACTCTTGAGAAAATTTTTTTGTCACAAGAATATATATTGATAATTTTCAAGAATATATTTTTTTGTCTCAAGAATTGATCGAATTTTATTATCATGATAGATATTGATATTCTTTCGTTAAAAAACCAAAATTTATTTTAAACGATTCTTGAGCCGAGAAATTTTTTTCTGGACAAAAATTTTTTTTTTTTTTCAGTATAGTAATTATAAAAAGTATCTAAAGATGATTAAATCAGTTTATAAAACTCACATTGGTTTGATTGCCGGTGTCAGCAATATGAAATGACTCAATCATAATAAAAAAGTTATCTTTCATGTATCCAGGATTCTACGGGCATAAAATAAAATTTTTAATTGTTATAAATGACAATCAAAGTGACATACTAAAAATATTTATAGAGATGACTAATAAATAAAATACTAACGCTTATTACTGTTTTGCAGTAGGGATATGCATTCCATGCCTCCTCGTGGATTTCTAGCGAGCTCTTTGGTAAAAGGACACGTATGTACGCCGGTACTTTGCTTGCTAGATGGTAAATCTTGTAGGTGTACTGTCCCGAGGAATATTTACCTCCTAACAGTGGGTAGTCCGTAAACGGTTCATTCTTCAGTACCTCGATACCTTCTCCGCCTCCTGTGTTATTTTTACTAGCCTCTGCTACTGAGTACAGCTGAGCCACTTGGTACTAAAAAAAATTACACATTATTATAACAAACTGAGCAAAAATAAAAAAAACTTCTTTCAGACAAACAAATAACTAAATTACAGTTTTTTTTTTACTCAAAAAAATTAAATAATCAAATTTTAATTAAATAATTAAATCAAAAAATTTTGTTAAAACGTGACGTGGAATTTTTTGTAGTATCATTACTTAATAATAAAGTAGATTACGTTTCATTTAAAAAAATAGTAATTATAGATTTAGTAAGTAGCAAGTAATTAGTGCAGTGTCACCAAAGAAGCAATTATTATATTAATTGTTTTATATTTGTCATTTTTTTTTTTTTTTTTTTTTTTTTTTTTTTTTTTTTTTTTTTTCCCGAAAGGTGTATTATCAATTTAAGTATACAGCAATACAATCTAATGACAGCCTGTGGATGGCTATTTTATGACATACCTCTTCAACAGTAAGTGGCAGGGTGACGCGGCTGTAACATAAAGAAAAATATTTAATTTATAATTAATTCATACTTATCAAAAAAGCAAATACACATTAATATTTATCCAAGATTAAAAAAAAATAATGGTGAATTTGCCGAATTTTATTTAAACTCAATCTCTTAACGATAATTAATTAATTAATATAAAAATAAAATAATAAATGTGGCCTTAGGCTGGATTTTTTGGAGCAACCTTGCTCCCTAATCACGACAAGTACTCTCGGTCGTGTTGTCCTCGACAACTTGATTTTTAAGTTTAAGTGATAGTCACGTTGGCAGATCGCCGGGCGCCAATTGTAAGTCAAACTAAAAATCGATACCACCGCGTCATAAGGATATTTACGAGGATATATGTTCTTTTTTCATCCGGCCTACTGCCTCCTGTCCTAAATTAACTTTATCATTGACATTATATTCTCGCATTATTAATCCAAGTCTCAGCAGTCCCATTTATATTCAAATTTAAATTTGAATAGAGATTCCGACTTAGGATCTTGATCATCACCAGCAGATGATTTGACGTAAGGACTAAAAAAACCGTATGTAAAATATAGTTTTTTTAGGCCACCAGTGGCAGAATGGGGAAGCAAAACGAGGGGTGATGAAGGCCAACCCCTTCGATACACGCTATCCATTAAAGATTAGCAATAAGGTACACATATCAATTATTCCGTAAAATTTAAAAAAATAATAAACAACAAAAAATATATAATTTAGCTTCGGCCTACGTGTTTGACGGAACGTGCCCGGAAACATCGTCACACGATAATATTTTTTTAAAATAAAAATCTCTACACATACTATATATACATATATATCTCTCCTTATAATAATTTGTTCTCAGCATGACTAAGACACGTAGTAAGCTTACAACTTGAGTTAACAAAGCCGCGGTAGTGATTTATAACAATAATTAAAAAAAATACTTAGATTGGTAAATCACTCACAATTCTTTGATGAGCATTTTTAGTCACTAGATCACATGGACCGTATACCAGCTAGATGTCTAATTATCGCTCGCTCTCTCAATCTTCACACCAGGCTCTTCTTGGCTAAACAAAATATTATAAAAAATAATTATTATTAGTTACTGGTTAAACAAACTGCCAGCAGTTAATTAATCCACTGAAGAATAAAATAAAATAAAATAATTATAATAATATACAATGAAAATAATAATAATAACGTACAGAGTATTAAGAAACGGAATGATGGGAGCACACTAACTCCAAATCACTAGTGTCCAAAGACTACACCACCCTCGACCTTCGGTAAATTCTTACTGGCACTGGCCACGGCCTCGACTCGTTCGTTCGGTTTTATCTACCTTCGGGACCGCAGTGTGATACTTACACACTTAATGCTCAAATATGTACCACTCTGCAGCACTGACACAAAGAAACTCCCCGTGCGGCTAGAGGAACTGACACAAATCCCGGACACACTCTATGACCAACACGCGTCCGCGCCAATGCTTGTCACTGGCTGGTTGCTGCAGGAAGGACCTCCACGGAAAAGGACAGATGTACCAGCTCAGCCAACCAACGAGTATATACGTTATTTAACGACACGTAGGTACTCACTGTACATGCATTCAACTGTCTAATACAACGTTTACTCCTTCTCTATTTTTTTCTCTACCACCACCACCACCACTTCCACTTCCACTTTCCACTCTTTGTGACGGAGTTGACGGAGCATCAACAACCAACAACCTATACTACTCTACACCCCCGCGTGATAAATGTGTTTGTCTTTTCTCAGCGTAGTATTTGTCTGTGTAAAGTGTAGAGTGTCAGGTGACGTCATTCGTTCCCTTTTGTCACTTGCGCTTTTTATCCAGTAGAGTTTTGCATACAGAGTATATATATATAATACGGAGCAATCCGATGACTGCTGTCTGCTGTCTATTATCTCTTCTCGTTACTTTTATTCACTGACACGCTCAATACTTGTTTGTTCTCTTTTGTTATTATATGTTACGATAACTCCTTTTGTTTAATTGTTTATTCTGGTTTGTTTTAAATATATATATTGGGAAAATTTATGTACATATTTGTCGATATTCGATTGTGAGAATTATATTTATTAATATGTATATATATATATATATATATATATATATATATTTTGTTTATTTATATTATAAGTGTGGAGAATAGAGTGGCAAGTATGGCTGGTTAGTATTTTTTGAAATTGAAAATTTTCCCGCTAGAAGCAAACGCGCATGCGCGGAATATTACCCACGAAAATTATGAAAATTAAGTTAGCCGACATTTAAGTGTTTAGAATTTTTTTTTATTTGAAAAAATGATTACAAAAAAATAATTTCACTTGTAAAAAACTTTAAAAACTGTAAGTGCAATTTTAAAAAAATATTTTTTTGTTCTAATTTAATTATTAAAAAAAAAATTAAAACGTCGGCTAACTTTAGTATTATGCAAAAATTAAAAAATTTTAAGACACTGAAGTTGTCAAACATTAGAAATTTTTTTATAATTTTATAGCAATTAAACTATTAAAAAAAAAATTTAATTAAAAAATTCTACATGTGAAAATTAATAAAAATTATAAGTGAAAATTTTTAGAAGCACTTTTTTTTGTAATTGATTTGTTAAAAAAATTTTTAAAATTGACAGCTGACGGCTAACTTCAGTATAAAATTTTTATTTTGTATTATAACTACTAATCTATTTTTGATTTTTAATAGAAATTAATTATTATTGAAAAAATTACATAATTATATAACACTAAAGTTAGCCGACGTTATTAATTTTTTTTTAATTATTAAATAAGAACTAAATATTTTTTAAAAATTGCACTTAGAGTTTTTCAAGTTTTTTACAAATGAAATTTTTTTTTTCATTATTTTCCATTCATTTTTTTAACAAAAAAAAGTTTTAAAATTTTTTAAATGCCGGCTAACTTAATTTTCTATATATATTGGGAAAATTTATGTACATATTTGTCGATATTCGATTGTGAGAATTATATTTATTAATATGTATATATATATATATATATATATATATATATATTTTTGTTTATTTATATTATAAGTGTGGAGAATAGAGTGGCAAGTATGGCTGGTTAGTATTTTTTGAAATTGAAAATTTTCCCGCTAGAAGCAAACGCGCATGCGCGGAATATTACCCACGAAAATTATGAAAATTAAGTTAGCCGACATTTAAGTGTTTAGAATTTTTTTTTATTTGAAAAAATGATTACAAAAAAATAATTTCACTTGTAAAAAACTTTAAAAACTGTAAGTGCAATTTTAAAAAAATATTTTTTTGTTCTAATTTAATTATTAAAAAAAAAATTAAAACGTCGGCTAACTTTAGTATTATGCAAAAATTAAAAAATTTTAAGACACTGAAGTTGTCAAACATTAGAAATTTTTTTATAATTTTATAGCAATTAAACTATTAAAAAAAAAATTTAATTAAAAAATTCTACATGTGAAAATTAATAAAAATTATAAGTGAAAATTTTTAGAAGCACTTTTTTTTGTAATTGATTTGTTAAAAAAATTTTTAAAATTGACAGCTGACGGCTAACTTCAGTATAAAATTTTTATTTTGTATTATAACTACTAATCTATTTTTGATTTTTAATAGAAATTAATTATTATTGAAAAAATTACATAATTATATAACACTAAAGTTAGCCGACGTTATTAATTTTTTTTTAATTATTAAATAAGAACTAAATATTTTTTAAAAATTGCACTTAGAGTTTTTCAAGTTTTTTACAAATGAAATTTTTTTTTTCATTATTTTCCATTCATTTTTTTAACAAAAAAAAGTTTTAAAATTTTTTAAATGCCGGCTAACTTAATTTTCATCATAAATATACCTTTTTTTTTTTTTAATTTATACAAGTGGAATTTTCTTTTGATTATTTATTTATTAAAATTTTTTTAAAATGTCAAATTTTTGTTAATTTGACATAATGACATTTTTTATTTCTTTTTTAAACGAATAAATTAGTGTTAAAAAATATTTACAAAGTTTTTTTTTAATTCTCATGATTAAAAATTATAAAGAAATTTTATTTATTTAAAAAATCTTACAATTTTCTCTCACTCCATAATTAAATTTAAGTATAATGTAATAAGGGTACATTAAAAAAGTTACATAGAAACACTGTCCTTTCGTTGTGTACCAGAGTGGAGCGAAGAGACTTGTCTTGTCTCACTTGTTACAATAAATGTTTTATGACACAGACAACAGTTGATTCACTGGCTAATATTGTCTAGTATCCTCTCACCAGTGCACTAAAAAAATATTGAAAAATGCTCGCACTTTTGCACTAAGAACGCACCTAAATGAGTGATAGTTGTTGGGAAAAATTACTCAGCACCATGGGATGCTGCTGTAGTTTGTTTAATAAAGACAGCGGGCCACAGGTATTTATTTTTGCTACTTACAATGTAGATTGTTTATTGTTTTGGTATCAAATTTATCAAGCCGCTCGCAGGCGATAGTCGTTTTAATCACTCAACAACTTTTATCACTTTATTTTATTATTTTCTGATGAGGTTATTCATCTTTCAGTATTGTTTTTTATTTATTTTATTTTTATTTTTCAGGGAGGAGAAGCCAATGAAAGAACTCATTTGTTAGTTGATCCTGTCAGTAACAGCACTAATATTCCACATGCACACAGGTATATGTCAAACCGGTGTAAGAATTGTAAATTTTCTTCAATAATTTATCAATGATTTTTTTTTTTTTTAGCGATGATTACGTTAATCAATATGCAAGTTCTATTCCAAAGAAAACAGATGAACAAAGTGCTTTAAATAGAATATTACATGAAACAGCAGCGTATGTATTTTATTTATTATCATTTAATTATTATGATGCTGAAATTTAGAGAAATCAGTAAATTTTAATTAAACTAAAATTGAGAACGAAAATTAAATTAGCCGACATCTGAAAGTTTTTGTAATTTATTTTATTGGAAAATTACTTAGAAAAAAAAAAGTAAAAAATTTCAGGTGCAGAAAATTAAAAAAAATATTTTTTTAGTTCTAATTTAATTAATAAAAAAAAAGTCAAAAATTGTTGAACGTCGGCTAATTTTAGTATCACAAATTAAGAGACGTCTGATAATTTTTATACATTTTTTAACGAATAAATTACAGTAAGAAAAATTTATTTAAAAATTTCCATCTTTAGAAACTCTAAAAAATTATAAGTGCAATTTTTTATAAATAATTTTCCAAACCTAGTTTATTATTTAAGTGTCTGCCAATTTTAATACCATAAATTTTTTGGATTTTTATAATAATTAAATAATTATGAAAAAGTTTTAATAAAAAAAATTCCACATCTAAAAATTTAAAAAAATTACAAGTGCAAATTTTTAAAAAATATTTTTTTTATTTTTTTATTATAATTAATATCTACTTATGTTTGTAGAAATGTAATTGATGTTGGAGCATTAGATTCACATAATTTGGAACAACATGAATATATGGATAGATCACGAGTATACTCCAAAAGAATAGAAACTGGTGGAGTTAAAATACCCCAAACCACTTGCTGTTTACTCAATGATATTCCAGCGCCAGAAAGAATATTATCATCTGAACCGATTACTACTGAAGATCAAGAGCTGGTATGTTATAAATGATAATTGACAGTCATGATTAATTAAGTACTAATTTATGTTAAAATTCTAGATAAAAACCATGGTTCGGAGCGCTGTAGAAGCTTTGAATGATGTTAAAGTGGAGCATAAAGAAGATCTGGTGGTGCCATTTCTCTCGTGATTAACTTGGCATTTTTTAACGAATCATCAGACTTATTTTCTCCAAAAGATCCTCTATTGAAATTTATATAATTTATTTTTTAATTCTATCTTATGTTAATATAATTGCAATTGCAAAATTTTTATTATTGACAATTTGTTTACACGACAAAAATTGTATTTCTTTCGAAGTTATTGTTGATAATTTGTCCTTTTAATCAATCGATATTAAAAGACCACTTTTGGATAAAATAATTAATGATATACGAGGCTTTTTACACTAAAATCGACACGTGAATTTTAAAAATTAAAAATCGGTTTATTTTGATAAATTTTGATAATTACAGTCAATTTTATTTATAAATTAATACCATTTTTACAGGTACTAAAAATTATATACGTGATATTTACAAAATATATTAATAGATTGATATTGAAATGTATGTTGTAAAGATAATGTATAATAATAAATTATATATATATATATATCTATATAATACAGTTGTAATATAAATAACACTAATAAATGTATCTTATTACTTAGTTATTTTTTACGCGTTTTAAAAATGACACTGAAGTTAGTAGACGTCTAAAAATTTTTGGTTTTTTTTTATTAATTAAATTACAACTAAAAAGATATTTCTAAAAAATTGCACTTGTAGTTTTTCAAATTTTTTACATATGAATTTTTTTTATTTGTTTAATTGAAATTTTTTTAATAAAAAATTTTGAAATGTCGGATAACTTCATTTCCATGTTTCAAAAATATAAAATTAATATTTTCTATTCAATTTTAAAATAATTTTTCAACGGGAAAACTTTTCAGGAAAAAATATTTATTACTATAAATTATTATAAAATTCCCTAGGAATATTCCCTATGCGCCTGCGCGCTAACTGAATAAATGGAAGTTCACAAAATAAATACAACACTAATACATTTGTGAGTTTTGTGCGAACTGTCGTATAAAAAAAAAAAACAAAAAACACTTCTAGTGAAAGTTTGCAAATAATTCCATTAACTATCTTCACAAATCACTTCAACACAACATTATTCCAACAAAATCAATTGTTTACTTTTTAATCAGTTTTGTGATCATTAGTTTATCCTTGTGAGTTAACCAAAATTGAAGATATCTTCACGAAGTTTCTAGAAATTACGAGAGAAAGATTCTGGACCAGGTTGCAAGTATTGAATTAAAAACACGGAGTTAATATCAGTAAATCTTCAGGACACAGGTAAATAACTATACCGTTACACCGTAATAATAATAGGTACTGTTATCATTAAAAACAATTGATTATTCTCGTGCTCCGATTAAAGTGAATCAAGGGGTTAGCGTCCATATTTACATTATTATTTAATTTAAATTGATTTATTTTTATAAATTGACAAGAGCATTTATTGTGATACTTAAATTTATAGATATCTGTCAATTTTTGGATTTTTGTAACTAAATTATTATAAAAAAATTTCACATTTATAAATTAAAAAAAAATTCTTCTCCAAAGTGCAATTTAAAAAAAAAATTTTTTTAGATGTCAGCTGACTAGTATCATTAATTACTGCAATTATAAATGTGAAAAATTATAATTATAATGTTAACTTGATAACTATAATTAAAAAAAAAAAACAAATCGATTCTAATAAATAAAAAAATATAATTGGTTTTTTGAAAATATTTTATTTTTTTAATTAGAATAAAATTGCAAGTGTCAAATAACTAGACCAGTGTCAAGAACATGACACTGAAGTTAGCAGACGTCTAAAAATTTTTGATTTTTTTTTTTAATTAGCTTACAACTAAAAAGATATTTCTAAAAAATTGCACTTATAGTTTTTCAAGTTTTTTACATGTGACAATTTTTTTTTTAATATTTTGATTGAAATTTTTTTCAATAAAAAATTTCTAATAATTTTGAAATGTCAGCTAACTTCATTTTCATTCAAGAACTAGGTCTTTTACCTTAAATCAACAAAATTAATTTTGACACTGAAATTAGCAAACACTTGGCAACAATTTTTTAATTTTTCTTGAAAAATAAACTAGATCTAAAAAATTATTAAAAAAAAATTGTATTTATAATTTTTTAAAGCTTCCAAAGATAAAATTATTTTATTATAATTTATTGGATAAAAAAATTCTAAAAATTATTAAAAGTTTAAATTTTAATATAATAATTAATTTTGTTCTTAAATCAGTGTACAAAACTTATACTTAGTCACTGTAAAAAACTATAGTGTGTATCTGGCAACTTATTATTTTTAATTTTTTTTTTTTTTTTAGATATTTTTGAATTAAAACCAATTCTATCAAGATGACAATGCCAACACAATTCCAAGTAATTCATCCTCCAGCTCAGAACCAAATGCCCGGAGCCCATATGCATACGCCTCCTTCAATATTTGAACATATGATGGGCCAACAAAATGCGCCTCATGAGCCAGGTTCTTGGTCGCAGATGCCTCAGATACCACCGATGTACATGCCATGGAGTATTCCAAGTATGCAGCAATCCCAAATGATGAGATTTACTGGAGAAAAACCATCATTTGTTCCTCCTGCTCCTGCTCCTGTCCATCAAAAGAGAAAACTTGATATTCCTGATATTCCTGAAACGTAAGAAATATTTTTACAATTTAATATATTAAAAAAAAAACTAGAGATTTAATGCTAATAATAATTTTTTTTAATTTATAGAAGACCAACTAAACAATTTATATCAGAAGAAAAAATGGCAGCACACTTCAGAAATATGCATATAAGTTCTAATTACAATCCAATACCATCGTGTTCATCCTCAACAGACTACAATGTTCAGCCATCAACTAGCAGTCAAGTCGACCTAAATGTCGAAAGCAGTACATTGAATGTAGAAAATAGTAAAAGTATGCATCCAAGACTGGTGATATCTGAGGAGCTTAGACGAATTCAACAAGAACCATTAATTCCTACTTCACTGCTATCTAAATTGTAAGTTTAATTCGAAAAATTTTTATTTTAAACAACTGATACTTTTACACAGAAAAAAAAATTTAATTTGACAAAAATTATTGAACCAAGAAAATAATTTTGAAGTTTCATTGTTTTGAATCAAGACGAAAAATTCTTGAATCAAGTAAAATTAATTAGTTTAAGGGGGTCCTCTGGTTTTTTTTTGAAAAATTTAATTTTTATTGATTACAAACAAAGATAGATAGTCAAACAAGCTTAAAAATTATTTAAAAAAACTCGATAAATATTATGATTAAATAATGCTATGCTACTCAAGGTAGATCCCAGCATTTACAAAATAAATAAATAACTTAAGTTAACGATATTTGGTAATTAACAATATTACGTTAGTATAGATTATTAATGTAGATGTAAAAAAATAGTGTTTAAAAAATACATCTGAACTCTTCAGCAGGGAGTCCTCTGGTCTGACGCCCTGATTCTTGAGCATTTTTTTGGGATTGTTTTGTAAAGACCAATGAAGAGATAGAACTTTAAACTTTTTACCATTTATTAATACATATTTCAAGAGTATACAGTTAAATTTTTAGCTAAAAATATTCAGTAGAATTAAAGTTATAGTGGTTTGAAGATACCCGCCTCGAAAAAAATTGACGCTCACTTCCTCCATGATATCAGCTGATTGGCTAATCTAGAAAAGGAACCCTGTTTTATTCCGTATACTATAATACGGCAAGTGGACTTTGATCAAAAAAGAAAATTTTGAAAATTGGATTTTTCACAAACTTCAGAACAAAAAAGTCTGAATTTCATTTTTTTTTTGTCAACTTTTTGATACAAAAAAAAAAATATAAATTTTCGAAATTCTTTCATTAAAAATTTTTCTACTCGAATCAAGAAGATAAAGTTCTTTAAAATTACTTTCTTGATTCAAGTTAATTTTTTTTTCTGTTGAACATTACTTATTAATACAGCAAAATTAAAATAAAGCTTTGATTGCAGGGAGCGACCGTCCATGGCTTTGGTTCTTTGGGAACCTCCAAGTAAACATCTGAGAACATTTATCACCCAAGCCGGAATACAACTGCCGCCTACTAGTGCTAACAGTAACGAAGAAGATAACAACAACAATAGTAATAACAACAACAATAATAATAACAATTACAATAATCTTAATCTTAATAATAATAATAACAACAACAACAGTCAATCAATGCCGAATTTGAACCAGCCATTGGAACCGGGTAATCTGGAATTAGAACCTATGGATCTTTAAATTTTGATCGGCTTCATTTTATTAATTGAAGATTTATATTAAAATATCTAAATGTTGAAGCGCGTTATTTTTATTACTTGTATCAAGTTTATTATATTATTGGTGTAGTTTCTTCTTAATTTGTCATTTTAAACGAGTTTATGTTGATTACATATCTGTAATATAGTATCATTGCATTTTTTATTAATACTGATAAGTGATTGATTTGTATTAATTATTATCGAGATGATAAATGATGTGAGGACGTGAATAATTGGATTAATGAAAAAAGAGAGAAAGAATTGTATGATTTCGACAGTAGATTTATTATATATCAAAAGTCTGAGTGTGGTTGTTGGAATATTGAACTTAACAAAAGTAAAAGCTAGTGATAAAAGCTACGATAAGCTATTTAGATATTAAATAGATTAGATTTTTATTACGTTCATTGATTAATCAATGGAATATATATTAAACGTTTCCATTATGTATATACAAAAAATGTTTTTTCATTCACAATTTAATGAAATAAAAAAAAAAAAAACTATGAGAAAAGTTTGATAATTATTAATTATATAATTAATAGAAAAATATTTTAAATCCAGTAGGCTGATATTAAATTAAGCACTACGGTTTCTTAAATTAATTTTAGAAGTAATAACGCCATTTTCTTTAATAACTGGTTTTAAAATTTCAGTAGTTTCATCATTGAGTATCGTGGCAATTTTATTATCGTTTAACATTGTCAAGTGATTGCCTTCAACAACGTGTATTTTTACTTTTTGACAAGCAATTTTGCTGAGACCATAATCCTCTTCGGTGAATTTTATAGATGGCATTGAAGGCTTCAACAATACGATCGATGATCGCAGAGCTGGTAGCTTTGAACTGTCGTAATTCTGCAAAGCAATGAACCGGTTGTAGACTGCAGTGATAATGCAGCGTACTTCTTCCTGAGGCAGTTTAATAACACTAGATGGTAAATGTTTCATGACTGTATCTAATTTTGATTTCCAAGAATTGTACTTCGGTAAGGCCGTCGCAAGCTGAAATTAATTGTTTCAATTAATATACATTGATCTAAAAAAATTAAAAATTTTAATTATTTGATCAGAATTTCAATAATCTTCCGAAATTTTCTAGAAGCACCATTATTTTCCATAATATTGCTACTAAAGAAAATAATTAATGCCGAGAGGATAGCAATCTCTGTGCTTCCTTAGTAATAATTATAATAATAACAACAAAAAAATTAAAAATAAAAATGAATCATTACCTCTTCACCCAGAGTGGGCATTATCATCTCTGTAATACCCATCAGAATGCTATGCTGCAATTCTTCTTCGCTAGAAGACGGCAACATTTGATCTTTGAAGGCTTTTGTGAAGTCAGGAGATCCGTCAATGAGAATTAATTTACCGGTCAAGCCTTTGGCTTCTAGTTTTCTTACCAATTCAATAGCAATGAGAGATCCAATTGAGTATCCAATTATTACAAAATGCTTGTGATCTTCGTTGTTCTTCAGAACATGCTGAAAAAAAAAAAAATTAATAAGAAAATTAGGGCTTAACATTGAAAAAAGGCCATTCGGCATCCGAAATGGAATTAGATTTCATTTTTGTGAAGAAAATAACTGCAAGAGTAAAATTTCTTAAAAATGATCTTAAGATGGAAATTTTTCCATTTAGAAAAACATGTAAACATGTAAATTGAAGTTTATTTTTTTGCTTTAAGATGCATTTTACAGAAATAAAATATCTCGAGGCGTTCAAAAGTTATTCGAAGGAGAAGCAAAAAATATATGAAATTTTCGAATTTGCAAAATTTTGAAATGCTGTAATTTGCAAACTTATTGACCGATTTGACACAAATTTGAACTCGACCTTCGTAATCGTTCATAGAATAAGTATGTTGAATTTCATTGAGATCCTTAAAGAATTGTAGATGTTATCGTGCTGACAAGCCCCGCGTTATATCGTATATATACACAGAAAAAAAAATTAACTTGAATCAAGTAAATAATTTTGAAGAATTTCATCTTCTTAGTTTGAGTTAAAAAATTCCTAAACTAAGAAATTTTACTTGGTTTAAGTAAATTATACTTGATTCAAGAATTTTTCGTCTTGATTTAAGACAATGAGCTTTTCCAAAATTATTTTCTTGGTTCAAGAATTTTACTCTTGATTCAACTTATGATTTTTTTTTTCAGTGTATATATTTTAAGTATATATAATATTTGAACCATATGTATTTTCTGACTCAGCTTGTCGAGTTAAGTCAAAATATAGCAAAATTTTTCAAAAGTTGCGTCATAAGGACAAATACAATAGTTAGATTTTTATGGAACCTACTAAAAAATCAATCAAAGATAAATCACTTACTGGTAGTAATTGATTTGCGATATCATAAAATGAAACATAGTCGGGATTGGTGTTGTTCAATTGTAAACAGGTTGCTGGTGATTTAATTTTACTGACAAGATTAGAAAAAACTGCCGCTTGGCCTTCGATACCGGGGATGAAGAATATTCGGGTTCTTCCGGCTTCTTCTTGAGTCTCAAGTTTCACGGCTACGCCGGAGTGCTCTTCTTTCGATTCCATTAATTGAACATACAATTTTAAACCTGTTAAAACTTCTGTATTGTCGGGAGACTGATTTATTGGGGTCTTTCCGTGATCTTTTGAGCTCATCTCTATTAACTTAGCAAAATTGAGGCTTCGAATATCTTGAGCTGTTAAGAATATGTCGAACTCGCGTTCTAACGATTGCTTTATTTCGACAGCCATCATTGAATCCATTCCGAGTTCTGCGAGAGATGTGTGTTGGCTGACACTTTTCAGGTCCTTGAGACCCATAATATTGAGCACGGTTTCAACGACATTGAGAGGACCGTTAGTACCAGCGCGTTTCTCGGCGACAACCATACTGGAAACTATGGGATTGCTTTGCATGAGGAAGTTATTCAGTTCTTGCAAACATGAGGTTATTTTTTGTTGCAAAGTACCACCGATCACCAGTTCTTTGTTGTCTTCTTGCATATCAGCGACTAGTCCAACGTCTCCAACAGCTCCCCATTGGACCGCCAGAGCTGGAAGGCCTTCAGCGACTCGCTTCTCGCAGATTCTCTCCATTATAGAGTTTGCCATTCCGTAGTTCGATTGCCCAGCATTACCACGCCCACAAGAGACTGATGAAAAGACAACAAAGTGTCGAAGTTTTGGGCAGACAATTCTTGAAACTTTATCCAAGACTTTAGTCGTCCGAGCTTTGGGTCTGAAAGCTTCCTTGAAAGTATCAGGCGTTTGGTTCTCAATCAAACTGTCTTTCAAAACGACTGCGAGATTAAAGATTCCATCAACTGGAGCTAGATTTTCAGCCAGTTTCAATATATCTTCACACTCTTGATGATTTGCGGGATTTTTTCCAGCTACTATTTCTACTTTAACTCCATACGATTTCCATAAACGTACTCGCATGCATTGATAACCATTTTTCAGACCAGAACGTGAAGTAAGAACGAGATTACGAGCACCACGAAGGACCAGCCAGTCAGCCAACTCCAGTCCAAATCCGCCCAGACCTCCAAAAATAATGTAACTGCGGTTCTCTAGGCAATAATAACGAGGCAAAGCCGGCACAATGGTATTCAGTAAATTTTTTTCGTCCAGTACTTTGATTAATACTTTGCCTATATGTTTACCAGCACCCATGTATCGAAATGCAGCTTCCAACTTATCTGAGGAGAAAACGGTTCTTGGGAGAGGCTTTATATAACCATCATCCAAACCTTTCTGCAAAAGTCCATTCAATATTTTTTTCACATCAGTAGTTGCTTTGAAAAAATTATCTAGTAAAATACCATAAAAACTGATTCCCTTTCCGAATGCAGCCATTCCAATATGGGTATCATTTGCCATATCAAACTTTCCAATTTCTAAGAATCTTCCGCCTTCTGCTAGACACCGTATCGATGCTTGAAGCTTATCCTCAGCCAGGGAATTTAATACAATATCTACGCCACGTCCATTTGTTCTTTCCAAGATCATTGTTTCGAAACTAGTGTCCCGTGAATTTCCAATATGATCTTCCGGAATCTGTGGGAAGTTATCTCGCATAAATTGACGTTTTTCAGGAGTACCAACCGTGGTGAATACTTCACATCCCACGTGAAGTGCGAGCATGATAGCCGCTTGTCCAACACCTCCAGTTCCAGAATGAATCAAAACTTTATCACTTTTCTTAATTTTGCCATTGGTAAACATTGCGTAATATGCCGTCGCATATACACAAGGGACTGTCGCGGCGTCTTCAAGGCTCCAACCTTTTGGAACATACCATGAAAGATCCCGATCAATAACGGCTTTGTTAGTAATCGCTCGACTGGGCGTTAATCCCATAATTCGTTTCCCATAACGATCTACACCGCTGTACTCAAAACCAATACAGCACTCCTCGAGCCATCGATTAGTAGCTATTAATTCAGCGGCAAGTTTACCACTGGTAAACATCACATCACGGAAGTTTATAGCTGAATAAACCACATCGATGAGGTCAGGATGGATGAAATTAGGTCTTATTGGGCCTTCAAGCCACGCGAGCGAACTCATGTCTCCTCTCACAAGTTGGTTTGCCCAAGCGTGGTACACAAGCTGAGGAGTCACTGCTGATAATTTGAGGTGCCGATAAGATCCCCAGGTATTATTTGCTCGTAGAACATTCAGGGTAAGATTCAACTTCAATTGATCAGCGTAAAGTGGTAAAGACGGAGAAAACTCCGGGGCTTGTTCATCTTGAATCAAAACTCCTCGGATCATTTCGCCACCAGGTTCCTGACGTAGACAGGTTACTAATCCGAGCAATCCACTCTCAAAACTCTTTTCGCTGACTAAAACAATGCGATTGTTGTTTTGTTCTTTTTCACCCTTGAATACAGACTTCAATTCATTCAACCATTCAAATGAATCATTCTTCACATTGACAATTACCATTTTGTGTGATGATTTTGATTGTTTTCTTAAAAGTAAGCAAAGTGAGTCATCAACGACTTTTTCGAAAATGATGTCAAGATTATATTTCTTCGTTACTTCAAAAAGATCAGTATTATTTCCTCTAGGTTCTAGGGTTAATAAAAATCCTTCGTTTTTGACAGCAGTTAGTAGTTGTGGCAACGACTCATGTTTTTTTGTCAAAAGATAACGGCCAGATAATATCGTAGCATTGGTTTCGGGAGTCAATTTTTTAATTTCAGTGATATTTATATTGGCAGGCAGTTTGCCTTCTTCGAATGAATTTTCTGTGAGAATATTCAACTCCGGTTGAATAAGAGGAATGTCATCGAGCGCTTCTTGGAACATTGGAGTGAATAAATCTTCAACCGAATATTTTTCGTCCGCATCCAAACTTTCTAAAGTTTTGACTTTTATTCCTAGGTTGTTTTCCAAAACGAGATGAGCTGCTAGGCGTGTAGCTTCATTTAGAGAAATCTCAGCGCGATCTCGATGAGCAATAAATTGGTACGATTCGAGAACAGGTTCACCAGCGGGTTTTCTTCTTGATATTACGCTGGCTTTGAGCCCACGTATCTCCACGCCCCCTGATACAATTAAATCTAATGATTTGTATCGATAAACTGGAAACTCTGCAAAAAAATAAGTTATAATAAGAGACAATTTTTAAGAAATCAAAAAAATTTTTTTTCAATAAATTGCCAAACCTTTAACATCTCCAGACAAAGCTCGAAATTGATTGTAATGTGCCTTAGTATTGATGACGAGCTTTTGAATTCCCGTTGGAACAAATAATCCTCGTGAGTCCATTTCAAGTATTTGTATCTGCAGCATGGTGTCCATAAAAGCGACCCAATTATTGTACCAGGCTATTTTACCTCGAGTACCGCTAGTCGTAGCACTTTTAATTCCTCGGAAATAACCACTGTACTGATATCCTCTCAATCTAAGTTCTTTGTAAACATCTTTCGCGGTCATTTCTTCTTCCTCATCATTCTCCGGAGGCGTTGGGTTCATCATAATCATTGATGGCTCAGTAACAATATGAACAAATCCAGTAACGACAGCGGCTTCTCCGTCGACGACCTCGAACCTACCCGTTCCCTGTTGGATCATCAATGCAAGCTCTACGTGTCCTTCTTTGGGAATAGTTGTAGCTCGTAGGAATTTAACGTCTTCAAAAACTACCGAAACGTCTGTGTACAACTTTCCCATCATCCGTCCGATCGTTTCCCAGATTAGCGCTAGGTATCCAGTCGCCGGAATAAGATTTCTTCCGTCAATCACATGTCCTGTCATAAACTCATAGTCCTCATTAATTTTATTTACCTGTACTATTCGTTCCCCAGATTTTAATTTTGTCTGTAATTTATATAACATAACGTACCAATCTTTGGAGTGGTCCCATTTTATTAATGGAGAGATCATTGGCGTGCTACGTGACACTGGAAATTTTACTTCTGGATAAAGTTTATGTACCTGCGGTTGAAAGCCAAGGTTGTAAAGTTTGCCGATTGCTTGAAGGAATACTTCAACATTATCCTTGCTCTCGCGATTAGTCAGAGCGATATTAATTACTTCAGGCTTAGCCGTTTTCTTAAGGACATCTTGGAGTTGAGGTTGAGGTGCAATTTCTATCGTCACAGCATTCTTCGGAATACGCACTATTGCTTCTCTGATTAGTGCCGCATCCAATAGATGATTGTGTTTCGCAGAAAGATCATAAGAGTAAGCTGTTAAGATCGTCTGTTCAATTGTATAGAAACCATTGGCATAAGCGCACGCGAGTTCTCCGACAGAGTGTCCTATTATACGTTTAGGAACGATTCCAAGAGAAGAGAGAAGATCAACTAGACCTATTTGGACAGCAGCGATCCCGACAAAAGAGTTAACATCATTTTCAAACGTTAATTCATTTGGATTTGTTAAAATATCATAGATATCAACTCCGCGAGGTTTCAATACGGCGTCGCATTTTCTAATAGCTTGTGCAAAAATCGGAAAACGTAAAAAGGCAGTACCCATAGATGGCCACTGAGACCCCATACCGGATAAGATATACCAGATCGGTCTTTTGAGACCTCGATGTTGCTTAATATCTCTGATACGGTTCTCCGTAGTTGAACGACGACGCACTATAGTGTAACCTCTGTATAAATGCTCAGAAATGCTATCTGCATGGATGTCATGAAGAAGCCTCACATATTCAGCGTCAAGTGGTCTGGTTTCAACCTGAAAAAAAAAAAAAAACATTCGATCACTATCTTAATATTCAATAAACAATATGAGTACTCACATCATTAAGCAGAACTTCAACAGCTTCTTCAGTTCGACCGGAAACGACAACCAGCCTCGGCAAATCGTCATTTGGAGCTCCTCCGTTGACTTTCTCAATAGGATTCGATTTTAATAAAATGTGAGCATTGGCTCCCCCAAAACCAAAAGAATTGACACCTGCGAATCCACCTTCCCACGGAGTCGGCTCTGTAATAACCTGAACCCTACCTTCTTCAAGACATTTCACTCCTTTGCGTGGCCCGGTATAATGAAGGTTCGGCGCTATTAGTCCTGTTTCATTAGCAATGACAATTTTAGCTATAGAACACATTCCACTCGCTGGCTCAGCATGTCCTAAATTGGATTTTATGGATCCGACTCTCAACGGTACTTTCCGATCTTTACAAAATACTCTATCGATAGCATTGAGTTCTTCTGGATCACCAACTGCTGTGCCAGTTCCATGGGCTTCGAGGTAATTCAAAACACTCGGTGCAATCTTGCATTCTTCGTAGAATTCTTTCAGAAGCGTACCTTGCATCATGCTCGACGGAAAAGTTATCCCTTGCTCTTTGAACCCATCGCAGTTTGTTTTCCCATGAACTATTGTAGCATAAATGCGCTTCGCGTTTTTTGCTTTTTGCAAGAATGCTACACTAACAGTTTCACTTCTGACATAACCGTTCGCTTCATTAGTAAATGACTTGCATCGACCGTCAGCGGACAATACACCTGTAAGTACGATAATTTTATTGACTTAATTAAATAATTCTGATTAGTTTTAAAAATTCATAACAGAGTATCTTACCAAGTCGTGCAAACAACAGAGATAAATAAGGATTAAGAAGCAAATTAGCTCCTCCTACAAGAGCAGCATCACATTTTCCGTCTCGAATAGCTCGATAAGCATGTTCCATCGCATAAAGACTCGAGCTGCAGGCAGTGTCGACATTATAACTTGGTCCAGTAACTCCCAGCCAGCGTGAAACTCGATTTGCTAGCATAGCTTTGCTGCTTCCAAGCATTCCCAGTCCATTTACCTGGTAAAAAAAATGATTCAGTCTTAAAAACTAGCAACTCACCCCCATGAAAAAAAAAATATATGTCAAAAAAAAATATATATTCAAAATATATTTTTTTTTATATTTTTATGTATTTTAAAATATATCTTGAATATATCTAATATATATTTAAAATATATAAAATGTATATGAAAATCGGCCAAAAGTTAGTTATTAAAAATATATTTACTATACATATTTTTTATATATTTATAGATTTTTAATATATTTTTTTTATATTTTTCTTTCATGGGGGCATTGAGAAGAAATGATATTTACATCTTGATCTGCATAAACCCATGTGACTTCAGACTCTGAGTAGCAAGCGCTGAAGAAAACCCCAGTATTGGTGCCTTTTAAATGTTTCGGGTTAACACCTGCATCAATAATAGCTTCGTATGAATGCTCCAAAAATAATCTACCCATTGGATCCATACTATGAGCCTCTTTGAAGTGAACACCGAAGAAGTCTGCGTCAAATTTTTCCAGGTTATTTATTTTTCCAAAACGCGTTGGAATTTCAGGGTGATCTGAAAAGTCATTCAGTAAAATATTATTTTTTTTTATTTGAAAAAATAATAAAATAATTCAATATCAACTTACCCAAGTTCCAGCGACGATCATCTTCAGTTATCAGATCTTTTTTATCAAACAAATTTTCTTTAAAATGTTTCAAGTCATCGGACTCGGGAAATCTTCCAGCGAGACCTGAGATTACGATATTTTCACCTGCATTCTCCATGTTCTGAGTGCAAGGATTGAAGTTTTCAGAGTTTTTCAAAATTTTTGTCTTCATTTTTTTTATTTATTTTAAATATTAATAAATAAATTTTACTTCAATTTATTTCTTCACTTATTTAATATACAAATCAATAATCCACTGGTGATTTCCTGTTAGCTTTGTAAGAATATAGTTACTGTTGTTCAGCACAAAGGTGAAGCTGATGATAAATGATGGAAAACATAGTCTTCACCGGGCTTTTATAAAGTAATTCGGATATTACTCACCCCTCTGCTAACAGGTCAGTGGAAAATTTTAGAATGCACTAAATTTAATCAAAACAAAAATCACCTTGCTTTTTTTATTGCGCTATATTTTTACACTTTAATTTTGTAACCTAAATTCATTAATTTAAATTTTAACAATTTATAATAATACCCATAAATTATGATCTCATAAAAAAATCCACGCGCTGAAATTAAATTAAATATACCCAAAAAATTTAAATGAATATTCTTCTTTGCAATAACAAAGTCAAAAGTTGCCGGATATTACGCCAATAATTTTGCATTATTATCAATTATTTGTTATTGTAAAATGATTTATTTATAAACATAATTTATTTTTGTTGTTTTCTTACAACTTCTTACATTTTATTACGGATGTATCGATAATTAATTATGTATTATTTATCAAGTAAATAATTAATTAAAAAAAAACATACTATATAATGTCTGATAAAAATTTTCCGATGATATTTAAATAATTACAATAAAACTTATTAATTAATTAAGCTCTACTGTGGTGTGTATTTATCTTTGCCGCAGAAATTGTGTTATCTTCTATAATTCTAGCTTTATGAAAAACTTCCGTTTCTTCAAGCGTTTCGCCGTTAATTGCTGTAGCGACACTAGGTTCATCTAGTATCGTTATATGATTACCCTCGACCACGCGAACTTCTACATTTTCTCGAGTAATGCTACCGAGACCGTAATCTTCACTGATAGACTTCAGGGTAGGCATAGATGGCTTCAGAAGGATAATTGGCGAACGTAAAGGCGCCAGGTTTGATGTCTCATAATTCTGCATTGCAATCAAGCGGTTGTAAATCGAAGCACAAATATTACGATGTTCTTCGCGAGATACATTCAAGAATTCATCTGGTATCCTTTGGACAAATGCATCTAATTTTTCGTCCAGAGATTTACACTTTTGTAATTCCATGAAGAGCTGAAATAATTTTAGAATTAGTTTTACTGAAGAAAAAAAACTTAAAGTAAGATTTTTGTGTAGATAAGAAGAAAGTGTGATACCTCTTCGCTGATTGAAGAAGCGAACAAATCCATGATACCCACGAGAACATTTGTTGCTAGTTCTTCATCGCTGGATGCTGATAGCTGTTGATCTTTGATGGCTTTCAGGAGCTCAGGAGCACCATCAATAAGTACCAGCCTAACAATAAATCCTTCAGCTTCTATTAATCTGGCTAATTCAATTGCTACTGTAGATCCAAATGAATATGCTGCGATTACAAAGGTTCTTCGACCATTATTTCTTTTTAAAACGTGCTGAAAAAATTTAATTACTATTTATAAAGATTACCTTGCATAAATAAGCTAATAACGAGAAAAACTTACTGGTAATAATTGTTTTGCCATATCAAAGATGGAAATATAGTCGGTGCTGGAGTTATTCAATTGCAAGCAAGTCGCTGGGGATTTAATTTTATTTGCAAGATTGTAGAAAACAGATCCAAACCCTTCAATTCCAGGAATAAGGAATACTTGATTTCTTCCGGCTTCTTCTTTGGTCGGTAATTTCACGCAAGTTTCCGAAAGCTCAACGTCCTTTCCGAGTAATCGTATTAATAACTTCATTCCTGTAAGAATTTCAGTATCTCGAGGAGTTGGTTCACTTTTGGGGGTTGATTCAAGGTCATTTGACTTTGAGCTCATCTCTATTAACTTGGCAAAATTGAGTCCTCGAATGTCTTGCGCTGTTAGGAATATCTCGAACTCACGTTCTAACGATTGTTTTATTTCGACAGCCATCATTGAATCCATTCCGAGTTCTGCGAGAGATGTGTGTTGGCTGACACTTTTCAGGTCCTTGAGACCCATAATATTGAGCACGGTTTCAACGACATTAAGAGGACCGTTAGTACCAGCGCGTTTCTCGGCGACAACCATACTGGAAACTACGGGATTGCTTTGCATGAGGAAGTTATTCAGTTCTTGCAAACATGAGGTTATTTTTTGCTGCAAAGTACCACCAATCACCAGTTCTTTGTTGTCTTGTTGCATATCAGCGACTAGTCCAACGTCTCCAACAGCTCCCCACTGGACCGCCAGAGCTGGAAGGCCTTCAGCGACTCGCTTCTCGCAGATTCTCTCCACTATAGAGTTCGACATTCCGTAGTTCGATTGCCCAGCATTACCACGCCCGCAAGAGACTGATGAGAAGACAACAAAGTGTCGAAGTTTTGGGCACACAATTCTTGAAACTTTGTCCAAGACTTTAGTCGTCCAAGCTTTGGCTGTGAAAGACTCCTTGAAAGTATCAGGCGTTTGGTTCTCAATCAAACTGTCTTTCAAAACGACTGCGAGATTAAAGATTCCATCAACTGGAGCTAGATTTTCAGCCAGTTTCAATATATCTTCACACTCTTGATGATTTGCGGGATTTTTTCCAGCTACTATTTCTACTTTAACTCCATACGATTTCCATAAACGTACTCGCATGCGTTGATAACCATTTTTCAGACCAGAACGTGAAGTAAGAACGAGATTACGAGCACCACGAAGTACCAGCCAGTCAGCCAACTCAAGTCCAAATCCGCCCAGACCTCCAAGAATAACGTAACTACAATTCTCTAGGCAATAATAACGAGGCAAAGCTGGCACAATGGTATTCAGTAAATTTTTTTCGTCCAGTACTTTGATTAATACTTTGCCTATATGTTTACCAGCACCCATGTATCGAAATGCAGCTTCCAACTTATCTGAGGAGAAAACGGTTCTTGGGAGAGGCTTTATATAACCTTCATCCAAACCTTTCTGCAAAAGTCCATTCAACATTTGCTTCCTATCACTAGTTGCTTCGAAAACATTATCTAATAAAATACCAAAAAAACTGATTCCCTTGCGGAATGCAGCCATTCCAATATGGGTATCATTAGCCATATCGAACTTTCCAATTTCTAAGAATCTTCCGCCTTCTGCTAAACACCGTATCGATGCCTGGAGCTTATCATCAGCCAGCGAATTCAATACAATATCTACGCCACGTCCATTTGTTTTTTCCAAGATCATTGTTTCGAAACTAGTGTCACGTGAATTTCCAATATGATCTTCCGGAATTTGTGGAAAATGATCTCGAATAAATTGAAGTTTTTCAGGAGTGCCAACTGTGGTGAATACTTCACATCCCTCGTGAAGTGCGAGTATGATTGCCGCTTGTCCAACACCTCCAGTTCCAGAATGAATCAAAACTTTATCGCTTTTCTTAATTTTGCCATTGAAAATCATTGCGTAGTACGCTGTCGCATATACACAAGGGACTGTTGCGGCGTCTTCAAGGCTCCAACCTTCTGGAACATACCATGAAAGATTCCGATCAACAACGGCTTTGTTGGTAATCGCTCGAGCTCCCATTAACCCCATAAGTCGTTTACCATATCGATCCACACCGCTGTACTCAAAACCAATACAGCACTCCACCAGAAACCGAGTCTTAGCGATTATTTCAGCGACAAGTTTGCCGCTGGTTAACATCACATCTCGAAAGTTTAAAGCTGAATAAACCACATCGATGAGGTCAGGATGAATGAAATTGGGTCTAATTGGACCTTCAAGCCACGCAAGCGAACTCATGTCTCCTCTCACAAGTTGGTTTACCCAAGCGTGGTACACAGGCTGAGGAGTCACTGCTGATAATTTGAGATGCCGATAAGATCCCCAGGTATTATTTGCTCGTAGAACATTCAGGGTAAGATTCAACTTCAATTGATCAGCGTAAAGTGGTAAAGACGGAGAAAACTCCGGGGCTTGTTCATCTTGAATCAAAACTCCTCGGATCATTTCGCCACCAGGTTCCTGACGTAGACAGGTTACTAATCCGAGCAATCCACTCTCAAAATGCTTTTCGCTGACTAAAACAATGCGATTGTTGTTTTGTTCTTTTTCACCCTTGAATACAGACTTCAATTCATTTAACCATTCAAATGAATCATTCTTCACATTGACAATTACCATTTTGTGTGATGATTTTGATTGTTTTCTTAAAAGTAAGCAAAGTGAGTCATCAACGACTTTTTCGAAAATGATGTCAAGATTATATTTCTTCGCTACTTCAAAAAGATCAGTATTATTTCCTCTGGGTTCTAGGGTTAATAAAAATCCTTCGTTTTTGACAGCAGTTAGTAGTTGTGGCAACGACTCATGTTTTTTTGTCAAAAGATAACGGCCAGATAATATCGTAGAATTGGTTTCGGGAGTCAATTTTTTATTCTCAGTGATATTTATATTAACAGGCAGTTTGCCTTCTTCGAATGAATTTTCTGTGAGAATATTCAACTCCGGTTGAATGAGAGGAATGTCACCAAGCGCTTCTTGGAGGATTGGAGTGAATAAATCTTCAACCGAATATTTTTCGTCCGCATCCAAGCTCTCTAAAGTTTTGACTTTTATTTCTTGATGGTTTTCCAAAACAAGATGAGCTGCTAGGCGTGTAGCTTCATTTAGAGAAATTTCAGCACAATCTCGATGAGCAATAAATTGGTAAGACTCTAGAACAGGTTCACCAGCGGGTTTTCTTCTTGATATTACGCTGGCTTTGAGCCCACGTATCTCCACGCCCCCTGATACAATTAAATCTAATGATTTGTATCGATAAACTGGAAACTCTGTAAAAAAATAAGTTGTAATAAGATAAAATTTTTAAAAAATCAAACAATTTTTTTTTCAATAAATTGCCAAACCTTTAACATCTCCAGACAGAGCTCGAAATTGATTGTAATGTGCCTTAGTATTGATGACGAGCTTTTGAATTCCCGTTGGAACAAATAATCCTCGTGAGTCCATTTCAAGTATTTGCATCTGCAGCATGTTGTCCATAAAAGCGACCCAATTATTGAACCAGGCTATTTTACCCCGAGTACCGTTAGTCGAAGCACTTTTAATTCCTCGGAAATAACCACTGTACTGATATCCTCTCAATTTAAGTTCTTTGTAAACATCTTTCGCGGTCATTTCTTCTTCCTCATTATTCTCCGGAGGCGTTGGGTTCATCATAATCATTGATGGCTCAGTAACAATATGAATAAATCCAGTAACAACAGCGACTTCTCCTTCGACGACCTCGAACTTACCCGTTCCCTGTTGGATCATCAATGCAAGCTCAATGTGTCCTTCTTTGGGAATAGTTGTAGCTCGTAGGAATTTAACGTCGTCAAAAACTACCGAAACGTCTGTGTACAACTTTCCTACCATCAATCCGAGGGATTCCCAGATTAGCGCAAGATATCCAGTAGCAGGAAGAAGATTTCTTCCATCAATCACATGACCTGTCATAAACTCATAATCTTCATCGTCCTTATTAACATGAACTATCCGCTTTCCGGACTTCATTCTTGATCCTCTTTTATATGACATGACATACCAGTCTTCGGAGTGGTCCCACTTTATTAATGGAGAGATCATTGGCGTGCTACGTGACACTGGGAATTTTACTTCTGGATAAAGTTTATGTACCTGCGGTTGAAAGCCAAGGTTGTAAAGTTTGCCGATTGCTTGAAGAAATACTTCAACATTATCCTTGCTCTCGCGGTTAGTCAGAGCGATATTAATTACTCCAGGCTTAGCCGTTTTCTTAAGGACATCTTGGAGTTGAGGTTGAGGTCCAATTTCTATCGTCACAGCATTATTTGGAATACGCACTATTGCTTCTCTGATTAGTGCCTCATCCAATAGATGATTGTTTCTCGCAGAACGATGATAAGCGTGAGCTGTTAAGATCGTTTGCTCAATCGTATAGTAACCATTGGCATAAGCGCAAGCGAGTTCTCCGACAGAGTGTCCTATTATACGTTTAGGAACGATTCCAAGAGAAGTGAGAAGATCAACTAGACCTATTTGGACAGCAGCGATCCCGACAAAAGAGTTAACATCATTTTCAAACGTTGATTCATTTGGATTTGTTAAAATATCATAGATATCAACTCCGCGAGGTTTCAATACGGCGTCGCATTTTCTAATAGCTTGTGCAAAAATCGGAAAACGTAAAAAGGCAGTACCCATAGATGGCCACTGAGACCCCATACCGAATAAGATATACCAGATGGGTCTTTCGAGACCTCGATGTTGCTTAATATCTCTGATACGGTTCGCCGTAGTTAAACGACGACGCACTATAGTGTAACCTCTGTATAAATGCTCAGAAATACTATCTGCATGGATGTCATGAAGAAGCCTCACATATTCAGCGTCAAGTGGTCTGGTTTCAACCTGGAAAAAAAAAAAAACATTCGATCACTATCTTAATATTTAATAAACAATATGAGTACTCACATCGTTAAGCAGAACTTCAACAGCTTCTTCAGTTCGACCGGAAACGACAACCAGCCTCGGCAAATCGTCATTTGGAGCTCCTCCGTTGACTTTCTCAATAGGATTCGATTTTAATAAAATGTGAGCATTGGCTCCCCCAAAACCAAAAGAATTGACACCTGCGTATCCACCTTCCCAAGGTGTCGGCTCTGTAATAACCTGAACCCTACCTTCTTCAAGACATTTCACTCCTTTGCGTGGCCCGGTATAATGAAGATTCGGCGCTATTATTCCTGTTTCATTAGCAATCAGAACTTTAGCTATAGAACACATTCCACTCGCTGGCTCAGCATGTCCTAAATTGGATTTTATGGATCCAATCCTAAGCGGTTTAACGCGTCCAGCACAAAATACCGAATCTATTGCATTGAGTTCTTCCGGATCACCGACTGCTGTACCAGTTCCATGGGCTTCGAGGTAATTTAAAGCACTCGGTGCAATCTTGCATTCTTCGTAAAATTCTTTCAGAAGCACACCTTGCATAATGCTTGACGGAAAAGTTATTCCTTGCTCTTTGAACCCATCGCAGTTTGTTTTCCCATGAACTATTGTAGCATAAATGCGCTTCGCATTTTTTGCTTTCTGTAAGAAAGCTACACTGACAGTTTCACTTCTGACATAACCGTTCGCTTCATCAGAAAATGACTTGCAGTGACCGTCAGCAGACAATACACCTGTAAGTATGATAATTTTATTGAAATTCTTTATTTAATTAATTATTAATAGATAAATATCTCACCAAGACGATGAAATGACAGCGTTACATAGGGATGAAGAGATAAATTAGCTCCTCCTACAATCGCAGCATCGCACCTTCCATCACGAATAGCTCGGTAAGCATGTTCCATAGCAAAGAAACTGGAACTGCATGCAGTGTCAACATTGTAACTCGGTCCAGTGACTCCTAGCCAATGAGAAATACGATTCGCTAACATAGCTTTGCTACATCCAAGAATTCCCTTTGCATTTATCTATTAATAAAATATTTAATTAAGCTTCAATAACTAGTGATGAAATAATAAAAATGATTTTAATTATTCAAAATAATTTTTACTTTAGGATTTTCGTAAATCAAAGCCTTCTCTGACTCTACGTAGCAAGTAGCGAAGAAAACTCCAGTGTTGGAGCCCTTTAAATGTTTCGGATTGACACCAGCATCGACAATTGCCTCGTACGAGTGTTCTAGAACCATTCTACTCATTGGATCCATGCTATGGGCATCTTTAAAGTTAACACCGAAGAAATCAGCGTCGAATTTCTCCAAGTTACTTATTTTTCCGCCATATGGAGGAAGTTCTGTGTGATCTGAAAAATTAATCGGTAAACAACTGTTTCTTTTTATTTCTTCTCAGTTGAAAAAATAAATAGGGTAAAAGGAGCATTTTTGGCCACTTGATATTTTAGTTAATTTGTAAAAAATTTAACTATTAAAGTAGAATTTTTATATAATTTATGAATTAGTACATTTATACGAATTGAATTCATAACGTCTTGTGCTTATAGAAATATTTATACAATTTATACAATAATTTGAAAATAAATTGACCACAAACAGTACTTCTACCCTATTAAATATTAAATATAAACTTACCTAGATCCCAACGACGGTGATCTTTAGTGATGAGATTTTTTTTATTGAATAGATTCTCTTGGAATATCTTCAAATTGTCGGACTCTGGGAACCTGCCGGTGAAACCAGATATCACGATTTCTTCACCAGCATCCTCCATTTTCTGAGTGCAAGGATTGAAGCTTACATTCGAGCTTTCCGGAAGGTTTTTAGTTTTCATTTTATAAGTTTATAATTATTTCTTGATAGAAAATTATAATTTAAATAATCTTTCTTCTTTCTTCGCAATTAATTTACGAGGCACAAGTTAAATAATTATGATTGATTAGTTATGTTTGTTTAAGGTTGTATTTTATTATCATACCGCTGACTGGTGTCTTTGATGCACAATAATGGAGAGCATTGACCATCAAACTTTTATATAGCAGCTAGTGGACTTCATTTCTTCATCTAATTAACTTTTACACTGCAAATAATATTATAAATTTGTCTATTTGAATCGATTGAATGAATTTTGACTTTTGGAACAATACTCATAAATTATCAATTATTATTGGCAGACTGCGAGTGAAAGTTTGATCATTGTACCCCGAAATTTATTCATGAATGTTTAATGTTTCAAATGCAGTGTCGAAAGTTCGCGAAATGCCATCAAGTGACACTTTACAGTTAATAGTTTTTATTCTATGTCTAAAATTTAATGAAGACAACATGTATGTTTATTTTTAAGTAGATTAGAATCAATTTAAGATTAAATTTTAGTAAAAATTTATCAAAAATTAAATAAAATGATTTCATGAAGATAACTCAAAAATTTTTTTTTAAATATGTTTTAAAAGTCAACTTAAAAAATAATTAAATAATATCAATAGGTGGATGATCCCGGAACAGTAAAAATGATAATTGGTCTTAATTGTTTGGTTTTTATTAACATAGTTTAAATTAATTGTTGGGTCTCATTGAAATAACACCTATATAGAATGTTTTTTAATGTATATTTTAATTTATTTATTCATTAAATACAAAGCAATTATATTATTTTGATTATTTATAGTCATAAAAATTTAGTACTAATATATATAGTTCAATTAATATAGCAAAATTTTATTAAATTTATTAAATATATGAGAAATTTTTGATTAGAATAGACTCCATAAATTTTTTTTTAATTTGCTGGAAAGTTTAGAAAGTTGAAGCCCTCAAATATAATTACATAGACAGAAGGCTGCTGATCTGATCTTTTTTATAAAATTTTAAATGATCTCATTGATGCACCGGACATCTACAATCCCTTTAAGTTTGTCTCCAACGATCGAAAGCTCAGGCATAACCGACCATTGAAAACCACCAATTCAAATCGAAACTATGTGATAAATGGACCAAGCAACAGAATCTCCAGCCTGGTGAACTTCCTACATGATTCCGTAAACTTTCTTCCGCTCTAATCGCAAGAAACATATATTGCAATATTATTAATAACAACGTTAATTTTTTTAACTTTGAATTTTTCCTTCTTTTTAATTTTCTCCAGACATCGCCGAATAAACCTATCTGTATATTATAATTTTCGAGCCAGAATTTTCAGATTTAAAAAATTTATAATTAATATCTTATAATTAAAAAAAAAATGTACTAATTGTTGTATAATGCCGATTGGCTTCAAATGAATAAATAAATAAATAAATAAATAATTCAGAAATTTTAGAAGAAATGCATTTCATAGATTTCTTCCTTGTTTGAAGAAAGAACATAAAGATATTTCAGATGATTGTTAAGCCGGAAATTATTTTATTTTAGTCCTAATTTATGATAATTGGAAAAAAATAATCGGTAAAAATTAAATTTGATATCAAAAGTCATTTTATTCAAATTATAATTACTGAAAAACAAATGATTTTTACTATGGATATATACAATTAATATTTTGACAAAAAAATCATTACATAATGATACTTTTTTAAACATTTTTCATGGGATTACTTTTTATTAATATTAAAGATTAAAGAAGTACAAGTATTACTTTATAAATTATAAACTAAAATTATAAAACGATTAATCAGCTAATTTTAAGTAATTTAATGAAGTAAACTATTTAATCATTAAGAGATTTATCTATTGTAGTGCGGATCTGTGATGGGAGCTAGGATTTTTCCGTCTTCCATAATTTTAGCTTTGAAAGCGTCTGCATCTTCCAGAGGTTCACCGTTGATTGCTGTTGCAATTTTAGCTTCATCTAATATCGTGACATGATTACCATCTACGACGTGAATTTCGACGTTTTCACGAGTAATACTACTGAGACCATAATCTGCGCTGACGGATTTAAGAGTAGGCATTGATGGTTTTAGAAGTATAATTGACGAACGTAAAGGCGTCAGGTTTGAGGTGTCGTAATTTTGCAGAGCAATCAATCGGTTATAAATCCCTGCACAAATATTACGCTGCTCTTCCCGAGATACAGTCAATAATTCATCTGGTATCCGTTGGACAAATGCATCTAATTTTTCCTCCAGAGATTTACACTTTTGTAATTCCATGAAGAGCTGAAATAATTTAAGAATTAGTTTTACTGAAGAAAAAAAACTTAAAGTAAGATTTTTATGTAGATAAGGAGAAAGTGTGCTACCTCTCCGCTGATTGAAGGCGCGAATAAATCCATGATACCCACGAGAACATTTGTTGCTAGTTCTTCATCGCTGGATGCTGATAGCTGTTGATCTTTGATGGCTTTCATGAGCTCAGGAGAACCATCAATAAGTACCAGCCTACCAATAAATCCTTCAGCTTCTAGTAATCTGGCTAATTCAATTGCTACTGTAGATCCAAATGAATATGCTGCGATTACAAAGGTTCTTCGACCATTATTTCTTTTTAAAACGTGCTGAAAAAATTTCATTACAATTTATATAAAGGTTACCTTGCATAAATAAGCTAATAACAATAAAAACTTACTGGTAAAAATTGTTTTGCCATATCAAAGATGGAAATATATTCAGTGCTGGGGTTATGCAATTGCAAGCAAGTCGCAGGGGATTTAATTTTACTTGCTAGATTGTAGAAAACAGATCCAAACCCTTCAATTCCAGGAATAAGGAATACTTGATTTCTTCCGGCTTCTTCTTTGGTCGGTAATTTTACGCAAGTTTCCGAAAGCTCAACATCTTCTCCCAGTAATCGTATGAATAATTTCATTCCTGTAAGAATTTCAGTATCTCGAGGAGCCGATTGGTTCTTGGCTTTCTTCTCGAGATCTTTCGAGTTCATCTCCAACAACTTTGCGAAGTTAAGGCCTCGAATGTCTTGAGCCGTAAGGTATACTTCAAACTCTCGCTCTAACGATTGTTTTATTTCAACGGCCATCATTGAATCCATACCAAGTTCTGCGAGAGATGTATGATGGCTGATAGTCTTCAAATCCTTTACACCCATGATATTAAGTACTGTATCAACAATATTAAGAGCTCCAGCTCCACCAGCTCGTTTTTCAGCGACAACCATACTGGAAACTATGGGATGGCTTTGCATGAGGAAATAATTCAGTTCTTGCAAACATGAGGTTATTCTTTGCTGCAAAGTACCACCGATCACCAGTTCTTTGTTGTCTTCTTGCATATCAGCGACTAGTCCAACGTCTCCAACAGCTCCCCACTGGACCGCCAGAGCTGGAAGGCCTTCAGCGACTCGCTTCTCGCAGATTCTCTCCATTACAGAGTTTGACATTCCGTAGTTCGATTGCCCAGCATTACCACGCCCACAAGAGACTGATGAAAAGACAACAAAGTGTCGAAGTTTTGGGCAGACAATTCTTGAAACTTTATCCAAGACTTTAGTCGTCCAAGCTTTGGCTGTGAAAGACTCCTTGAAAGTATCAGGCGTTTGGTTCTCAATCAAACTGTCTTTCAAAACGACTGCGAGATTAAAGATTCCATCAACTGGAGCTAGATTTTCAGCCAGTTTCAATATGTCTTCACACTCTTGATGATTCGCGGGATTTTTTCCAGCTACTATTTCTACTTTAACTCCATACGATTTCCATAAACGTACTCGCATGCGTTGATAACCATTTTTCAGACCAGAACGTGAAGTAAGAACGAGATTACGAGCACCACGAAGTACCAGCCAGTCAGCCAACTCAAGTCCAAATCCGCCCAGACCTCCAAGAATAACATAACTACGATTTTCAAAGCAATGATAACGAGGCAACCCAGGTATTAATGTATTTTGAAGATCATTTTCATCAAGTACCTTTACTACAACTTTACCAATGTGCTTACCAGCCGCCATATAACGATAAGCAGCTTCTAGCTTCTCTTTCGGGAAGACAGTTCTCGTTAAAGGCTTTATAATACCACTGTCTAATCCTTTCTGCAGGAAATCTCTCAGCTCTCTCTTACGTTCCACAGGAGCATTAAATACAAGGTCCAAAAGTACTCCATGAAAACTGATCTCTTTCAAGAACATTGCCATACCAATTGGCGTGTCATTGACCATATCGAACTTTCCTATCTCCAAAAACTGACCACAGTTTCCTAGACACCTAATAGATGCTTGAAGCTTATCATCAGCCAGCGAATTTAAAACAATATCAACACCACGTCCATTTGTCCTCTCCAAAATCATCGTTTCAAAACTAGTATCACGTGAATTTCCAATATGATCTTCCGGAATTTGCGGGAAATTATCCCGAATAAACTTCCGCTTTTCAGGAGTACCAACAGTCGTGAAAACTTCACAGCCTTCATTTAGCGCAAGAGTTATGGCTGCTTGTCCAGTTCCTCCAGATCCTGAGTGGATCAAAATTTTGTGTCCTTTCTTCATCTTACCGAAGATATACAGAGCATTGTAGACAGTAGCATAGACACAAGGGACTGTAGCAGCATCTTCAAGCGTCCATCCATCAGGAACGTACCACGAAAGATTCCGATCGATAACAGTTTTGTTTGTAAGAGCTCGTGACGGAATTATTCCCATTACTTTTTTTCCATACCGATCTATACCGCTGTACTCAAAACCGATACAACACTCTTCTAAAGCCCGGTTGGTCGCGACTATTTCTGCAGCGAGCTTGCCACTGGCCAGCATAATGTCCCGGAAATTAATTGCCGAGTAAACGACGTCCACAAGATCAGGATGCTCGAAGCCAGGTTGGATGGGTCCTTCGAGCCACTGGAATGAACTCATGTCTCCTCTTACGAGCTGGTTACCCCAGGCGTGATGAACGGGCCGAGGAACTACTGCTGGAAGTTGAAGGTGTCGGTAAGAGCCCCAAGTCTTGTTTGGTCGGAGAACATTCAGGGCAAGGTCTAGTTTCATTTGATCCCCGTAAAGTGGCAGAGATAGAGAAAAGTCGGGGGCTTTTTCGTCTTGAATTAAAACACCCCGGATTATTTCACCGCCTGGTTCTTTTCTTAAACAATTAACCAATCCTAAAAGCCCGCTTTCAAAGCTTTTTTCGCTTACTAAAATTACGCGGCTGTGACTTAGCTCTCCTTCTTTTTCTCTCTCAAGAATTGACTTCAATTCATCGATCCAATTGAATGAATTGCTGGCAATAGTTACAATTATTGATTTCTTTGGTAGTTTGTCTTGTTTCCGCAAAAGTAAACAGAGAGAACTACCGACGACTTTTTCTACAAGAACATCCAGATTGTGTCGCTTAGCAGCAGTGGAGTAGTCGCTGCTCTTACTAGATTCAAGGGTTAGAATAAACCCTCCGTCTTTGAGAGAAAACAGCAGCTGAGATAAAGAAGCGGTTTTTTCTTTACTCAAAAGATCACGACCAGTCAAAATGATAGCATTGGCATCCGGTGGTAATTTTTTCGCTTCAGTAACATTTATATTTTGAGGAAGTTTGTCTTCTTCAAATGAATTTTCGGTAAGAATATTTAAATCCGCTTGAATAAGGGGAATATCGCCGAGTACTTCTTGAAGAATCGGAGTGAACAAATCTTCAACTGGGTATTTTTCATTTGCTTCCAAGTTTTCTAAAGTTTTTACTTTTATTTCTTGGTGGTTTTCCAAAGCTAGATGAACTGCTGCGCGTATAACTTGTTGCAGAGACATTTCAGAGCGGTCTCGATGAGCGATGAATTGATAGGACTCTAGGACTGGTTCACCCGCCGGCTTTCTTCGACCAATCACGCTGGCTTTAAGACCACGGATCTCTACTCCTCCTGCTACTATCAAATCTAAAGTTTTGTTTCTAAAGACCGGAAACTCTGCAAAATAATTATTATTAATAACCAATAAATAAAAATTTTAGTAAAGAAAAAATAATAAAGGTAATTATTTACAAGTGGGCTCAATCCTATTTTTGGCCATAGCTAAGTGAAAAATAAACATTTTTAATTTTTTTTTATTTTGCTATCGTAAAAGAATAAAATAAAAATTTCGATGGCTTTTTTGCTTTCAAAAGTTGGAAAAAATTTTAGCTCTCATGTTTTTGAATATAATTTCTATTTTATCTTTTTTTTATGTTTTTGATGCATTTTTTTTTTTTTTTAAGTACATAAAAAAACGAACAAAATTAAAAAAAAAAAAAAAAAAGTTAAATATCACAATTTTCAAAAAATTTATAATTGTTTTTTGAAAATTTGTTAATATTGTGATAATCAACCTTTTTTTTTTTTTAATTGTTCATTTTTTATGTATTAAAAAAGATATATTATGTTTTTCTTATCTTTCAAATTAAAAAAAAATTTTTTTTTAATTTCTTAAACTTTTTAAATATATCTTTTCTTTACAGATGCTATTTATAGTATAAAATCATTATTACTAAACATTCTACACATAAAAATATAAAATATCATTATAAATTCCCGAGGGCGTTTCTTTAAAAATAAATAAATATCAATAAAATTAAGTAGAAATTTCGTTAAAAAAAATAAAAATTTAAATGGTGGACCCCACTAGTTAATATTTACCATACATGGTAAATTATAATAAATATAATTTTATTATAATAAAATTTATTATCGAACCTTTAACATCATCCGGCATAGCCCGAATTTGATTTAAATGCGTCTTGGTATCAATAACAAGCTTCTGAATACTCGTAGGAACAAACAATCCCCGTGAGTCCATTTCAAGAATCTGCATCTGCAGCATATTATCCATAAAAGCGACCCAATTATTAATCCAAGCTATTTTCCCCCTCATCCCACTAGTCGAAGCGCTCTTAATCCCCCTAAAAGACCCGCTGTACTGATACCCTCTCAACCTTAGTTCTTTATAAACATCCTTAGCAGTCATTTCTTCTTCTTCATCTTCTGGAGGAGGTGGGTTCAGCTTAGCAAGTGCCGGCTTGTTAGTGTAATGAACATATCCCGTAACAACAGCAGCTCCTCCTTCAACAACCTCGAACCTGCCAGTGCCCTTCTGGATCATCAGAGTAATTTCAACAATTCCCTCCTTGGGGATAGTCGTCGCCCGAAGGAATTTAACATTATCAAAAATTACAGAAACTTCAGTATACAATTCTCCTTTCATCATTCCTATGGTTTCCCAAACAAGTGCCAGGTATCCAGTAGCAGGAAGCAAATTTCTCCCGTCAATTACATGACCCGACATGTACTCATAGTCTTCATCGCTCAGAGTCACTTCAACAGTTCTTTCTCCTGAAGTTATCTTCTCCTGCATTCTGTAAGACGTCACGTACCAGTCGTCAGAGTGCTCCCATTTTATCAGCGGTGAAATCATCGGAGTTCCTCGAGAAACTGGGAATTTAATATCCGGATAAAGATTGGCGATCTGTGGAAGATAACCAACGTCGTAGATTTTTCCTACTGCCTGGAGGAAAACTTCAACGTTGTCCTTGTGACCGCGTTGAGTAAGAGGAATATTAGTAACGCTGGGACTCAAAGATCTCCTCAAAATAGCCTGGAGCAACCCGTGAGGAGCAATTTCAATTGTAACCGCGTCCTTGGGAATTAAATTAGCGGTTTCTTCGAACAAAACAGCGTTCAAAAGATTGTTGGTGTGGTATTCAGCAGAAGACAAGCGAGCTTGAGGCGTAGTCCATTGACTGCGTGGCACCGAGGTGCTCAGCCACTTGGGACTCCTGGGTTTAGGGTCTGGGATGACTTCCTTCAAATATTTCAGCAATTTGGGTCCAGCTTCCGCGATGTAGCGGCTGTGATACGCGATGTTGCTGCAAGGAACTTCTCTGGCGAAGATTTTGTTCGCTTGGAGCTTGGCTACGAAGACTTTCATTGACTCCGCGGGTCCACTGATGGTCGAGCTCTCGGGTCCGTTGTGGCAAGCGACCTCGATGTCTGGAGGACAGAGATCCTTGACGTCCTCGTAGCCCAGTCCTACAGCTGCCATTGATCCGAAGATAGTCTTGGTCTCAATTGAAGCCAAGCCGCGAGAGTAAGCAGCCAGGACCATTTGCTCGGCGGTGAAGCAGCCGTCGGCGTAAGCACAACCGAGCTCGCCTACGGAGTGGCCGATTATACGGTCAGGAACGATGCCGAGAGAAGTGAGAAGATCTACGAGGCCTATCTGGACAGCGGCGATTCCCACAAAAGAGTTTAGGATGTTGTCGAAGGTTGATTTGTTTGGGTTCGTTAGGATGTCGTAGATATCAACCCCGCGGGGTTTTAATACAGCGTCACATTTTTTAATTGCTTGGGCGAAAACTGGAAACCGGAGAAGCGCTGTTCCCATTCCAGGCCACTGAGATCCCATGCCTGAGAAGACGAACCAGATCGGTCGTTTGGCACCTGGGTAGTGCTCGGTGTCTCTGATGCGGTTTTCTTTGGTAGTATGGCGACTTAGTATTGTGTAGCCTCTGTACAAATGCCCAGGAATGTCTTCAGTGTAGATGTCTTGAAGAAGTCGAACGTATTCGACGTCAATTGGTCTGCTTTCGACCTAAAAAAAAAAGGAGGATTATTTTAATTATTACACTGGTGGAAAAGTTAGCAAGACAAAAATTCTTGAACCAAGACTACTAATTGACATTTTTAAAGATATAAGCTCATCCCGATGTTACACTCATCAAGACCTTTCATTTGAGTACCCACATCAATTTTTCATATATTTTATATATTTATAAATATTACATATATGTATATATGAAAAATATATCAAAAATGCATGTGAGTACTCAAATGAAAGCTCTTGACGAATGTAACATTAGAATGAGCTTATATCTTTAAAAAAGTCAATAGTTAAGAAATTACATTGAATCTTGTCACCTAATGATATTTTTAAAAATATAAGCTCACTCTCATATTACACTCATTGAGACCTTTCATTTGAGTATCCACATCAATTTTTCATATATTTTATATATTTATATATATTATATATATGTATGTATGAAAAATATATCAAAAATGCATGTGGATACTCAAATGAAAGCTCTTGATAAGTGTAACATCAGAATGAACTTATATCTTTAAAAAAAGCCGATATTTAAAAAATTACAGTGCAATTTAACAAAATTCATTATTTAATAAATCAAAATTTTATTATTTATAGTTCACAAGTCACGGCTTAAATAATTAATATAATTACTCACATCATTAAGCAGAGCTTCAATAGCTTCTTCAGTTCGACCAGAAACGACAACCAGCCTCGGCAAATCATCATTTGGAGCTCCTCCGTTGACTTTCTCAATAGGATTTGATTTTAATAAAATATGAGCATTGGCTCCACCAAAACCAAAGGAACTCACGCCTACATATCCACCTTCCCAGGGTGTTGGATCTGTTATTACTTTGACTCTGCCTTCTTCCAGAGCTTTTACTCCTTCACGCGGCCGATTATAATGGAGATTCGGCGGTATAATTCCCGTTTCATTGGCAATCACCACTTTAGCGATGGAACACATTCCACTTGCTGGCTCAGCGTGTCCTAAATTAGACTTTATGGATCCAATTCTCAGCGGCTCTGTGCGCCCGGGACAAAAAACAATGTCGATCGCATTAACTTCCTCTGGATCACCAACTTTGGTGCCAGTTCCATGAGCTTCTATGTAATTGACGATGCTCGGTGGGATTTTACATTCTTCATAGAAGTCGTGGAGAAGCACACTCTGCATAGCGCTTGATGGAAAAGTAATCCCTTGCTCTTTGAATCCATCGCAGTTGGTTTTCCCGTGAATTATTGTTGCGTAAATACGTTTAGCGTCTTTAGCTTTCTGCAAGAAGGCTATACTGACAGTTTCACTTCGAGTGTAACCATTGGCATCTGCATCAAATGATTTGCAACGACCATCTGCTGACAGGACACCTATAGAATTTTTTTCAATAATTAATTTAAAGAATAATTATAGTTTTTTTTTTTTCAAAAGTTAAATTAAAACGCTTTGTAATTTTTTTAAAAATGTTTTCTTAGCAATAATTTATTTGCTGTAATATTAAAAATAAATACAGATATCGGCTGACTACAGTTTCATAACAATGACATTAAAGTTGAGACATTAGAAATTTTTTTTATAATTTTATAAAAATAAAATCATTACGAAAAAAATTTAATTAAAAAATTCCCCATGTGAAACTTAAAAAAAAATATTAGTGAAAATTTTTTAAAACATTTTTTTTTATTCCAATTGATTTTTCATAAAAACTTTAAAAATTAATAGTTATCAGCTGACTTCAGTATCATTTCTTATCAAAGTATCTTACCAAGACGAGAAAATTGTAGAGATACATAAGGATGAAGACACAAATTAGCTCCTCCAACAAGAGCAGCGTCACACTGTCCATTACGAATCGCCCTGTAAGCATGTTCCATTGCAAAGAGACTCGAACTGCAAGCAGAATCAACGGTGTAACTCGGACCAGTCACTCCTAACCAGTAAGACAGACGGTTTGCAAGCATAGCTCTACTGCATCCAGTTATTCCAAATCCATTTACCTGGTAGAAAATATAAATTATTAAATTTAATTCAATTATCTATATTATTAAGAGATAATAAGCAAAAATTTGTGGCCAGTGTATTTATATGATAAAATGGGTTTTTATGATTAAATTTGGAATCGTTGGAAAAGTCTTGACCTGGAGTTGTGCCTTTTCGTGGTTTCATATCATTCTCACCAATAGTCAATTTATTATGATAAGGCTCTGCATTCGAAAATGCTCTATCTCTAGATAGATAATTAACAAATGACCTTGTATCTCGTGAGCTATTGAAATTTTTAAAGATATAAGCTCATCCCGATGTTACACTCATCAAGACCTTTCATTTGAGTACCCACATCAATTTTTCATATATTTTACATATTTATATATATATATTATATATAATGAAAGCTCTTGATGAGTGTAATATCGGAATGAGCTTATATCTTTAAAAACATCAATAGTTAAGAAAGGTACAGAACAATTTAATAAATATCTTGTGAAATATTGATATTTTTAAAGATATAAGCTCATCCCGATGTTACCCTCATCAAGACCTTTCATGCAATTTAACAAAAGTCATTATTTAATAAAGCAAAATTTGATTTATTTATAGTTCACAAGTCACGGCAGTCACTCAGTGACTGCAAGGTTGCTAGTTTTTATTATTTATCAAATTACCTGAAGTTTTTCATAAAACCAAGTTTTTTCAGACTCTGAAAAGCAAGCACCGATGAAAACACCCGTTTTAGTACCACGCAGGTGTCTTGGATTGACACCAGCGTCGACAATTGCTTCAAAAGCATGCTCCATCAGCATTCTGCACATCGGATCCATAGTATGAGCCTGTTTGAAATGAACTCCGAAGAATAAAGCGTCAAATTTACCCACGTTGTTTATCTTCCCAGTACGTTGCGGAATTTCAGGGTGATCTATAAAATTTAGATAATTAAATAGTGAAGAATATAATTTTTAAATTATAAGTATCAATTTAGTTACCTAATTTCCAACGACGGTCATCATCAGTGACAAGATCAACTTTATTAAACAAATTATCTTGAAAATGCTGCATATTATTAGACTCCGGAAATCTCCCGGCGATGCCAGAGATTACGATTTCTTCGCCGGAATCCATCATGCGTTGAGAGCAAGGGTCGAAGCTCATTGAGCTCTTTGGTGGGTTTTTATCTTTCATTTTTTCGTTTGTTAGATAAAACAAATTTCACTGAAGAAAAAAAAAAACACTTGTGTCTCTGACACTTAAATCACTATTAACAAAATTTTAAATTAAGTGTCACTTTTTTATTTCACATTAATTTATTTGAAATAAGGATAAGGATGTGTTCTGATGGGTATGATTATTATTGGAATAAAAATCGGTGATCCTTCCAAAAGAACTGGCTAATATTGCACAAAGGGTGACTTGAGATTGTGAAGAAGAAAGAGGTGGTTGGGTTTTTATAACAGCGGTTGCTCCCACTTGGTAGTTACAGGTCAATAGGATTGTTTGATTTACACTAAATTATTTAAATATGTTTATTTAATTTATAAGTAACCTTTGGAGCTCTGTGCATATAACTTATTAGCATTTAACATTGTAAAATCATACTTTAATTTATGGATATTATATATTCAACAAATTTGTAAATTTACAAAACTACTTGTGTCTAATGATTCATTTTATTGAGTCAATTAATGAACGATAGATAATTTAATCTATTGCTCAATAAATTATGTTAATTTGCATGTCTCGACTTGTTAAACAAGTATTTGTTTGTATTAATGCAAAAATTAAAAATATTTAGACATAAATATTTTTTTTCAAGGGTAATAAAAAATTACAATTATTTTATGAATATAAGAATTTTTTTTAATTCTAAATAAATTATTATTATTATTGAAACAATGACGTCATTTATTGGGATCGTTGAACTTAGATGCATCAGATTTGAATTAATTTTTTTTTACTCCTATTTAAGTTGTACTGATGGTAAAAAAAAAACGTAGACAAGTCCATACCCCAACTTTAATAAATATTCAATTTTAAATTCAGTGTCAAGAGTTGCCGGATGTCGTGCCAGCTTTTAATTAAATATCCATTTATGAGTGACGATTTAGTCGCAGTTATTTTATATTAAATATTTCCTTATAAATAAATAAAAAATAATTTATCATAAATAATAAGTAATTCCATTTGTATTTATTTATTTAAATAATACAAAATTTTAAACACAGAAAATAATATATATATTAAATACTTTTCATGACAATTAAATATTATGCGGTAATTACTTAAAAATAAGTACACTTTCTATGAGATTTTTTTTTTATATTTATAAAAAAAATGTATGAATTATTTAGACATACAAATTTTTAAAAATGGATTTTATTATAAATAAATAGAAGTATTGTCAGATTATTTTAATACTATTATTTTTTAATCTTTAATTCCTAAATTTGTGATTCTCTCTTAATGTCAAGAGTTTGTACTCTCGTTTACACTTAATGTAATTTATAATTAAAAATTATAGTAATTAATCTATGAATACTATAAAAATTTTTAATTATAATTTAGTTATTTATAAACCAATAATAAAATTAAAAATTTTAAATGTCTTAAATTTTTTTTAAACAAGTAAAATCTAAATATGATGAATATAAATTCCGATTAAATAGTTCTTTAATTACTCAGTAAATTATACTTATTATAATTATAATATAAATTAACGGTTAGAAATATTGGCAAAGTGAACTCGCTTACTCGTATTATTATCGAGTGTTTCTAGAAGACTGGGGGTAAAGCTGAATTCTGAACTGCTTTCGTCGTTATTACATCTAAAAAAAATAAAAAATATTTAAATTATCTCGAATTGAATTAATTATTTAAAGGGGGAAGTCCATGTAAAATTTTCAAAAAATCGATTTTCTTTTCTCGATAATCTGAAAATATAGTATGTTGAGCGTGTATTGACGAGAGGAAAAAAAATCTCGAATATTGACGAAGTTATAGCTAATAAGAATCTCGAAAAAAAATAGACCTGAAATAATTTTAAAGTTATGAAAAATTTATATTATTCATTAAAATTATTATAAAATTAAAATCATAATAATAATAATTATTATATTTTTTTTTTGTAACAAAAAATGGAGCGATCATTCTGGGGGTGCTTGTTTTTCAGGAAAATTGTGGATGTGATACAATTATTATTATTATAATTTTTATTTTATAATAATTTTAATGAAATAACTTTCATTAGAAATAGTTTTCATAACTTTAAAATTTTTTCCAGGTCTTTTTTTTCCGGTCTATTTTTTTTCGGGATTCATATTAGCTTAATTTAAATTAAAAAAAAAAACTTACATGGAGTCTAAGCTTGACAAACTATCGCTCATCCTTGAGAGAATCGAAGCAACTCCGTCAATTTTAACAATATCCAACGTAGAATTACTAACAGCCGAGTAAATTCCTTTAGACCCAGCAGATCCTAAGTACCGAGGGTTATTCAACTCAATCAATGTTTTCTCTGGACCCTTTGTTGCCGAAGAAAACGCATCCGGTGTCAATTTGATAACTTCCACCGACGAAAAGTGGGCGATAAAAAGATAAGGCTTGCGGAACGCTGAAAACAATTTGACCAAATATTAGCAATAGATTAAAAATAAATTTAAATATATAAATTTAATTATCAATTTAAATAACTTACCGAAAGAAAAAGGTAAATGACTCCAAGTAGGATCGATAGACCGAGTTCGTTGACCACATTCATTGACGAAGACTCCGAATTCATTATAGCACAATAATAGTTCCGTAGATTGGGCCGAGGTTGAAACATCAAGAACAGCAACTGGAAATATTCCCAACTTAGCAACTCCAGCAAGAGCAGCTTTTATTGAACTGTCGTCTTCCTCAGGGAAGTCATCAATCATATAATCCTTCAAGTCTATTTGGAAGAACTTTTGACACCCGACAATGAGATTTCTTTTGGTGAAAATAGCGCAGCTGCAAGGTTCTTGCGTTTCGATTTCTTTAATCGCAATAAATTCCCCGCGCTCGCTATCACTGCGCCATTTTAATAAAATAACACAGGAAGCTGTCGCAGCACAAAGTACATCTCCTTCTAGTTGATACAAATGGCAGCTATCAGAACCCGTGAGAATACCCGTGACACTAATAGCGGGTCTTGAGCACTCAGCAGCGACTGCATTGTTCTTCAGCTGTCTAAGATCGCAGCAAACCAGTTGCCGATCTTCCCCAGCAATCATCAGCGCGAGATTAAGATGCGGGTGTAAAGACAACTGATGAACACGCTTGACTCCTCGTATGGCAGTTAGCATCTTTGAGTGTGCTGGTTGATACGAATAGAGTCCTTCTTCAGCTCCAATAAGCAGTGTGTTCTCTTGCTCCAGCTCAACAATGCAGTTCATATCCAGTCGATTTTTCTCCAATCTCAGGACCGTTTGCAGCATTGCATTTTTAGCGTTTTCTTTCGTCCCGTTTTGGTGGGCTATTGACTTGAGAGCATTGACCAAAGTTTTCTTCTCTACTTGACTGAGAGCCATTATGTCCAGGCGTGAAGTCGGCCAGCAAGTGTTTGAAGTGTTCGATTCAACGCGAATTATAAACGGCAAGTCTGATTTTGCTGTTCCTGGTACTTCAGCTGAATAAACTTCCTCAGTAATGGTGAATCCATACGACGATTTGTCTGTCAACTCCATTTTACTTATTGGAGCCATGCCTTGACTTGGTTTGTGCTCATAAATGCAGAGACTAGTTCCTTCTAAGCGCAAATATTTTCTGTCCCACGAGGCTTTTCCTCTGCCAGGAATTTTCACCCAACTTTCAGCAATTATACCTTCATTATTGCGTAAATGTTTTGGATTAAATTCCCCAAAGTCTGGCTCGTCAATCGTCAAAGTCTGTACACTGCTGCAAAGAGTAGAAATACTTTCGGCACTATTTTTCCAAGTTTTGCCCAAGTGCTTTGCAAAATCTCCAGGTAGCCCACAATTTGCCGGAACTAATAAAGAACATTTCAAGTGTGTTAATATTTGACACTCACTACAAATTGCAGAACGTTTTCCGAATTGTATTGGCTCTAGACAAGCAGCGCATTTTCCAGCTCGCATCGACAACTCAAGATTGAAGCGATGAGGAATATTATGACGGATTCGTTGGTTGGACATTTGTCTAGACAAAGTATTTTCTTCTTCAGTATTATTAGACTGAGATATGTGTTTTCTCAGTTCCGGACTTCCACAACTCGGTGAGACTGGAGCAGATGAAGCCGCAGCGGCTTTGTAAGCCAACAATTGCTCGGTAAGTGCCTTGACTTTAGCACGTTCTCTAGTGAGTTGATTTTCAAGCTCGCGATATCCAACAGGCATACCAGCGCCAATCGGAACAATATTTTCCTTCTGTTTGCTCTTAAAAATCTTATCACAAACAGTTTTCTTCTTTTTGCTGCACTCTTCAAGCTTAAGCTGAAGATAATCAATAAGTTTAGTCTGCTGTTGTCTTGTACCTTCGGACTTATATTCGTGTTCTTGATAAAACTGTCTCATTTCATCCAACACATTCTCCAACTCCGCGATCCTAAGTCTCAATTCTTGTCCTTGGTCAATACTGGACTGCAAATCTGCCATCAAGTCCTGATTAATGTCCTTCATTTCATGTAGCCTTGTAAGATGTTGAGAACACTCTTCCTTAACAACGACCGACTCACCTCTAGCAGACTCCAGCGAACGCTTCAGCTCAGCCAAGTCACACTGAAGCTCTCCGCAGCGGGTCGTCAATACCCCGACTTGTTTATTCAAATCTTGAGCCATTTTTTTATAATGATCCCGCTGACTGTGCAATCCATTTCTTTCCGACTCAATATCACTCGTTTCCGACTCCAGACGTTCGATAGCTCTCTCCGCCAACAACCTCTTGGTCTTTTCTTCATTCTGCGCAGCTTTAGCCTCCCGAAGTTTCTGTTCCACCGCCTCCAGCTCTTTCTGAAGCCTCATTTTGTCCTGAATCAGAGTATTCTCCCTCGTTTCATGATCACTCGTCAGCCTTTCATAGTCAGTCAACTGCTCCTCAAGAACAGTACAAGTTTCCTTCAACAAATCAATATTAACCTTGTAACCATTAGCTTCTTGCTCTAATTTCTCCAACTTAGCCTCCAGCTCCAGCTTCTCTTCATTGTGCTTAGAAATAGCCAGAGTCAGTCGCTTGTTCTCGGCATTCAAACTATCAACACGATCCTGATTAGTGCGCAATTGCTTCCTAGTTGCATCCAACTCGCGTCTCAACGCTGCACTGGATGATTGAAGCTCCTCGATCTGTCCATTAGTTTGCGTCAGCGCTCGCTGTGCCGAGTCAGCCTGTAATTTATTCCTAGATGACTCGCGAGTGAATTCAGCCAGTGATGCTTTAGCGGACTCGAGCTCAGCCAACAATTTCTTTGATTTTTCTTCCTCTTCCTTGTACTTTTTATTCAGCGACTCTGTCAATTTAGCCTTCTCCTCCTCAAGCCGCTTTATTTTATCTTCAGCAGTCTTGGCTTCTCTTACAGCGATGCGCTTGTCCAAATTAGCGTCAGACAATTCCTTTTCTTTCTTCCATAAATCCCGCTGGGCTTGTCGAGCCGCGTCACGATCAGCCGTCGATTTTTCTCTCGCAGCTTGTAGCTGTTTTTCCAACCGATCGATCTGCTGCTCCAGCGCTGTTTTGTCAGTAATTGATAATTTTTCAGCAGGAGCAGAAGTTACTCCCGACGTACGGCTGGTAGAGGGTTTAGAATTGTCAGTAGAACGTCTCAAACAGGCGTTCTCTGACTCTAATTTCGAGACACTCTGCTGAAGACGTTGAAGTAAATCCTCAAGTGTATCCATCTTACGTAACTGTTCATTCTCTTTCTCCTGCGAAGCTTCAAGGCGCAGTTGCAATTCATCCTTATCATGGGCTTTTTTCTCCAAATTCAAAGCCAAGTGTTCACTTTTACGTAAATTTTTTAATGTATCATTCAAATCGCTCTTAGCATTCTCCAGCTGTTTTTTCATCTGTTCATTTTCCAACTGAAGTTTCATCATTTCATTATTTAAATTACTCACAGTCTGCTCAGTCACGCTGACACTCTGCATGTGTTGAGTCCTTTCTTTCAATTGCTTACGCAACGTCTCTATTTCTTGATCCCGGGCTGGTATCATAGCTTGGGTGCTTCTTAGCTGCTCCTGGCAGTCCTTAAGCTCCGACTGAGCCAGCTCAAGAGCGACATTTATACGCGACATGCGACAATGATTTGAATCGCGCTCGTTTCTCAGTTCGCTTTCCAGCTCAGTATTTTTAGCTATCTCCATCTCCAGCTTCATTCTCACCTCAGCCAATTGATTGTGAGCACGGTTAGCTATCTCTTCAAGTTTATTTTCAACTCCCGCAACACTCTGGCGTCTTAATTCTCGTGTTTTCGCCAAGGATTCTTTGTACTGAATTTGAAAAACTTTCAACTTATGAAGCTCTGCATTTGTGGTCTCCAATTCACACTGGGTCCTCTGTAATCTAGAACTCATTTCATTATTACTGGTACACAGTTCAGTGATACGCACCGTCTGAGCCTCGATGTGTTTATTGAGCCTGGCTATTTTTTCCTTTTCAGCAGCTTCCCATTTTCTCTTGGCGCCTTTTATTAAATCCAAAGCCGTAGTCTCTAAATCTTTCCTCTCCTGACGTTCTAGCTCGAGTGTCCTCTTGATGGCTGCTAAATCCGATTTAGCGGCTGTCAAATCGCGCTCCAGCTTGTCTCGCTCCTTGATCGACGCCTCCAGTTTAATATCTTTCTCCTCGAGCTGCAATTCCACCGCAGTTATCATTCTAGCTTCTCTGCTGGTCTGCTCATGGAGATCCAGAAGTTTTTGCTGGTACTCCTGCAAGTCTTTCATTTTTTCCTCTAATTTATCTGCAATTTCAAATTTTTCTTTAGTCAGTGTCAATCTTGTGCTAGTACTTATCTTGTCCTGGAGCTGAAGCATTTTTTTCTGATATTCATCCAACTCCTTCATTTTTTCTTTCAACTGCATTGACAATTCAAGCTTCTCCACGGCGAAATTAGTTTTATTTACAATGCTTCGAGGTAAATCCGGCAGCTCCAGCATCTTTTTATGCTGCTCAGCACGGTCTTTTTTCTTGTTTCTCAACTGCAATGCCATTTCTAATTTTTCTTTAGTCATTTTACTGGACTGATTAGGTATAGCCAGCATTATTTATCGTAAATACTATTTATTATTATTAATAATTTACACTACACATTTATTTGTTGTCACACAATAAAACTCGGCATCACTCTGTTGACCGTTACACTACACAACCACAAACTCCATTTTACATATTAATTCAAATTCGTCCAGATGTCGTTTGTAAATACAACTAAATTCTCGTTGATAAATATTCTTTTGTGCACAGAGTACATTTACTCACCAACAGAGCGCGCTACTAATATTTTTTAGTAACTATTTATACGGCGTCGTTGTCATGACAGTAAAAACGGGAAAATTTTAACTTCAAATAAATCACAATTTTATTTACAATAAATATTTATTTTTATACTCATTACATTGTTGTTATAACAAATATTTGGTTAAATATTAGTGACAGCAAAAAAAAAAACTTCACCAGGTTAATTAGGCTAATTTATGATTATACTGAAGTTAGCCGTCAGCTTTCAATTTTAAAAATTTTTTTTTTTAACAAATCAATTACAATAAAAAAAGCTTCTAAAAATTTTCACTTGTAATTTTTATTAATTTTCACATGTGGAACTTTATAATTAATTTTTTTTAATAATAATTTAATTGCTATAAAATTCTAAAAAAATTTTTAATGTCTGTCAACTTCAGTGTCATAATTTATGATACTAAAATTAGCTGACAACTGTCAGTTTTTTTTATTTTTATAACAATTCAATTACAATGAAAAAAAAAAAAACTTGAACAAATTTCCACTAATAGTTTTTTCTAATTTTCACATGTGGAATTTTTTTAATAATAATTTTATTTTATTTTTATAAAATTCTAGAAAAAAATTTCTAATGTCTGTCAATTTTAGTTAATTTAACTTATGAATAATAATAAAGTTAGCCGACATTTAAAAATTTTTAGAATTTTCTTTATTAAAAAAATTATTGTAAAAAAAATAATTTCATTTGTAATAAAATTTGAAAAACTGTAAGTGCAATTAAAAAAAAATTTTTTTTCGTTCTAATTTAATAAATTAAACAAAATCAAAAAATTAAAAATGTCGGCTAATTTTATTATTCTAACTTTTATGATAATATAAAAATAAAGTTAGCCGACATCTAAAAATTTTTAGAATATTTTTTTATTGAAAAAATTATTACAAAAAAATAAAAAAAAAATTTCATTCGTAAAAAACTTGAAAAACTGTAAAAGTGCAATTTGTAAAAAACATTTTTTTGTTCTTACTTTAATTATTAAAAAAAAAAATCAAAGAATTAAAAACGTCGGCTAACTTTAGTATTATTATGATAATCTCATTCTTTTTGATAAATGAGGATCATCATCATCATCATCATCATCATCACTATCAATAGATTTTAGTAAGTGAATCTTATCAGAATATTGTTTACTAGTGATTAAATATTGACCATTTTTTGTGGTTACTATAATGTACGAAATACCGGCAAATTCACCGAGATTTATGGCGATAATAGGATCAAGACTTAGTTGAAATGTATTACTCAGGGGATGTGGTGGATTATTGAAATGATTAAAATCTTCTAGACTATTCAAATAAATTCTGCTGAATAAACCTGTCGAAAGTTTGAAGGAATTAATGAATCAGTTATAAAATAATTATGTAGTAATTTACATTTATATTAAATAAATAACATACCTGAGTTCCAGCCTAGTAGTAAAATGTTCGCGTACATTGCCGCGCAAGTAATAAAATCATTTTCTAATTCAAGTAATCCATATTCTAGGCAACATTGATCATTTTTTGAAAATTTTCTGCTACACGCTGCTAATCTATAATCTAAAACAGAATTATTTGGTTAAATAGTTATTAAAGTAATGAAAAAACGTAAAAATATTGAAATATTTAAAACAACTTTTACCACAAAATATAAGCTCAAGTTCTTTATGAGGTATTACAGATATCATAGTGTTTTTTAACTCGAAAATATTAAGGATTCTAATAACTTTACGATTCACCATTTTGGGATCTTTGTAAACGTCTGTGGAGAAGTTTAGTTCGAAAATTTGTACTTCATCATCAATTTGTATCATCACCATCAACTGTAAGTAAGAGTTCATTCATTTTACTGTCATAAAGTACATTATTTTTAAAAATATTTTTTTTAATTACCAGATCACCTTCACTGTGCATAGTAAGAAACTTAGTACATAATTTAATGCTAGATTTTAGAAGAATTGATACATCACATGTTCTGCGAAAAATTATTTTTCCATAATTAAATTTGTACTCTGTGATATTATAACCATATTCAACAAAGAATCGATTATCGACGCCTACACTGTAAGTTAAAATGAAAATTTTAAGTTTATAAAATTATTTTAAAATAGATTACTACTTACCAAATATTATTAGCGTAATATATCAGAAGGGATGGAAGCGGTTTTTCATCCTGAGTTGTAAGGTTGAAGAATTTTAGATATTTATTTTGTAACTGCACTACAACTACTTCTAGATCTTTCTCTGCAAAAATAATCTCAATTATTATTTATCATTGTTATTATTATTATTATACTCTTATTTAAATACCAGCAAGCCAGACTTTTAAGTTCTTTACAGCGTGATTATTTTCAAATCCAATCGCGATCTGGTCATGATCTTTCTCGATGTCAGACAAAAATACTTTGCCACTAGTTGACCCGGCAACTAAAAAATCACCTGAAAATAAACATAAAAAAATCATATGACCGCAAAATAAAATGAAGATTAAAAATTATTAATTAAACTTACGCCAGACAGTGGTGCATGTTATTTCTTCTTTCAACCCGTATCCAAATTCTGTTACAAGTGTTGAGAAGGCTTTTGGCGATCGCCACTTATAATAGTACTTTAAAACCTCCTTATAATCTTCAGGTGATAAAGGTCGTTTTAAATCTATCAACTTATTGGGATGTACTTTTGAAATAATTTGATTCGCCCAAAATTCAATATTACCCTCACATAGTTTTTTAAATATCTCATTTTCTTTAAAGTAGTCTTCTATTAAGAGTTTAAATTCACGAGAAGCTCTATAAAAGCGGGAGAAGAGTCGTAGAGGGTTCTTGGATTGGCTAAAAATTAACCACCATACTTCTTTCGGAAATGTAATGTAATTATCAAACATCTTGTATTATATAAAAGATCACAGATTTTTTTTATTTATACTAAGATCACTTTCTGCAAAAGACTAAATGTAATAAATATTGTTTCAAATATTTTAATGAATAAGAACATTCGTTAAAATTCCGGTAGAAACATTTTTATTATCTTCTTGAATATTGTCGACATAAGTCATTTAAATTTTGTCGCTAAAAATATTAGCTGGTTCTAAGACAAAAATTTACACTCATGCATTCTGTGTTAGAAGGAAGATTAAGGTTTTTTTTTTAAATAATAATTAAATATATTATTTTATTATTTTATTTTATAATTATTAAATATATTATTTTAAAAGTAATTTACTATATAATAATAATCAATAATTATTTAGTTAAATAATGCGCTGAAGTTTTTGTGATAAAAATAGCATACTTATAATCTTCATGCTCTGTAAAATTAATAGCGATAGTTGGTTTTTCCAAAACTAATGAAATTTTGAATTTTTTAATTACAAAGTCTTTTTTATCTTGAGCTTTTTTGATAGAAACTTTATCAATTGTCCCTATAAATTAATAAAAATTTGATATTAAATAATATTTACTTAGGTAATAGCTGCCAATCTTACCTGACTCCCAACATATAAAATAAATATTTGCAAACATAGTAACGTTTACAATATTATCAACTTGGAATGGTTTTTTTAATTTGAAAGATGACCATTCTCGTTCAGGACCCGGAAACTTTGAATGAACTATTATATTATTTTCTGAAACAATAATTTTAAATTAAGAAAGTTAATTTTATCTGCAATAATAACCAAATAATTTTATACCAGCAATATAAAATCCAGTTTCTTCAATAGGTATGCTAGAAATAATGGAACTTTCTGGATCGGACATTATGTTATGATGATTAATTGCATATACTTTTTTCAATTCTATGTTTTCAGAGCTTACGTCGGGAAAATTAATCTCATATACTGTAATTATTCTATTCATCTCTGTCATCACTATTAGCTGTAAAATAAAAAAATTTGTAATAGTATTTCTAAATGTGTTTTAAATTAAATTTACATACATCATCAGATCGATTGTGCATTGAAAGAAATTTTGGTTTATTTGAAGAATCATCATTCGGTATCGTGCAATTTCTTGAAGGAAATACACGTTTTTTTTCATATTTATATTCCACTATAAGAAGCTGATTTTCAATAAAAAGACGATTGGCCACACCAATACTACAAAGATACAAATTACTCTGTTATTAATTCAATTTTTTTTTGTTTTTTAGAATTATAACTACCATAAGTGCTCAGCCATGTCGTCAATCGAATTCGAAATTTCACTAGCTTCATTTAAATACCAAAATTGTAAGTACTTTTCAATTGAAGCAACAACAACAATATTTCCATCTAAAATAAAATTATATTAAGTTTAATTTTATTAAAATTAATTTTATAAAAGCAATTACCAGTAAACCAAAATTTTATATCTGTTACAGATTTTTTAAAATCATGCACTAGAACAAGTTCTTCTGGCTCTGTAACTAATGAGAAATGAACGCGTCCAAGATTTGTTCCAAAAATGATGAATCTTCCTGCAATAAATTAATATACAAAGTGAGTATTATAAAAAAAGTTGGGATTTTTTTCTTAATTTTAAAACAACAATTAAAAATTAATCGTGTCAAAGCTTTGATATTACGGCGGAAGTATTGGTTTCTTACAATTAGTAATGTCTCTTACAATTTTTTCTTAAGATCAATTTTTTAATAATAAAATCAGAATTTTAAAATTGAGATTTTTATAATTAGCAAAAATTTTAATCATTCATTATGAATCTTAATTGAAAAATTACGGTGAAAATATTTCTTGTAAAATATTAAATTTTCAACAAATTTTTATTTTTTTTTACAAGACTAACGTTTCCGACAAAAATCTTGGGCCTAATTATAAATAATATTTCTAAAAAGACACTCACCGCATGCATCAACACATGTTACTTCTTCACCCTCCAAGAAAAATTTTCTAAAATCAATATTGAATTTCGGTTCTATTGAATTAGCAACCCTCCGCCATTTTTGGTAATTTATGAAATGTTCTTTATAGTCTTCGTAAGACAAAATATCATTGACAAGAAATTGTCTGTACGGATACTTTATTTTTAGAATAGTATGCATCCAACTTTCAGTCCGCGGTGGACAGAGCACCTTCCATATGTTATTATTTTCAATTTTCTTGTCAATTATTTCCTTAAAAAATTTTGAAATCACACGGAGTTTTATCAGCCGGAATGGGTTCCTTACATACATGAAGATCCTATCCCACACATGCGGAGGAAGAAATAATTCTTGCATTTTAAATTTCAATTTATTACCAAGTTCTATCGAATCGTATCACGTGTTGTGACATTCTAAATAGACATTTCGCAATTCTCTGCAGGTTAATTGTCTAAGAACATTCGATAAGATTCTGATGTACACCTAACATTTAATTAATATATGATATGATTATCAATATTTGTCGGATCTAACTTATTAATCATTGATCATTGCGAGCACTCATTTTATATCTAGAATATTATCGGTAATAAAATATGTGTTCGATTTTATTGATATCTTCTACAAAATTGTACTTCAAACCGGTATTATTAATATTACTAATACTCAGTGAAGTAAATTATAGTGCCTTTCAAAAATAAAATAAATTATCGCTAAAGTTTATAAACAAACAGACGTAAGTAGATAACTCTTTATATAGTCTTATAATATTTTATAATTCATAACATAAATGAAAGAAAAAATAGACAAATAAAAATACCTGCATAAATAAATTAATCATATTTATCTTTAATTGAAGAAACAATTTCCAGTTGATTTAAAAATTTACCTTTCACATGAGCCACCGGGCCCGGATATTGGCAATATTACCTCGCTTACATTCGCTTGGTCATCGATATATTCCTAGAGAAAGTGAAAATCAGGAACTATCCTTGTCTGCAGCGCACAGTACTCTTTCACGTGATATTATATTATACATATACTGGATATGATATCACATAGACGAGAAAACATAAAGGTAAAATAAATACGGTCTCGTGCGTCTCGTGAAATGTCATGGCCGCGACCATTCGCCTACTCAACTTAGCGGTGATACTATGAGCTGTAATTGAAGATTATGAAGAGAATAAGTAAAGAAGAAGAATTAAATTTTTGTTTTATTTTTTTGAATGAATTTTTTTAACAAAAAAAAATTTTTAAATGTTGGCTAACTTAATTTTCATAAAGAAGATAACACTTAGCCGACATTTAAAAATTAAAAAAATTTTTTTTATTAAAAAAATTCTTTCAAAAAATAAAACAAAAATTGCACTTATAGTTTTTTAAAAATGTAATTTTTTTTTGCAATCATATTTTTAATTTAAAAAATTCTAAAAATTTTTAAATGTCTACTAACTTAATTTTCATGAGAAGATAATGCTTAATTTTTAATTTTTCTTCATTTATTGAATTATAACTAAAAAATATTTTTAAATAATTGCACTTATATTTTTTTAAGTTTTTTAAAAGTGAAATTTTTTTTTTAATAAAAAATACTAAAAATTTTTAAATCTCGGCTTGCTTAATTTCCATGCAAAGAAGACTAACTCTTTCATAAAAACATCCACGCATTATATCAAGGTATCAATAATAAATTATTACATTAATAATCGGTAATCGATATTAATAGTTTATAATATATTAATAAAATTAAAATATATATCTCATTATATTGTATTATAAATACAATAAATTGACTCTATTTTTATTCTAGCATAATTGTAAAATGTCATAGATAAAATATGCCAACTTTCTTATTGTCATTTTATTCATGGTTCTATAACATGATATGTCGACGCTCCCAGCAAGTGCTCTTTAACACTTTAACCCAAAGTACGTAGTTATTTTCTACCTACCTAGGATAAATGTTGTTATATTATTCAGTATGTAAATTAGAAGGTGAATATTATTCACTTTTTTTTTGTTTTCCTTATTCAACAGTTATACTTTTATGTAATATTACATCATCAGACAATTTACTAAATTTTTTTGAATATTTAATCAATAATATTTTATTTTTTATTATAAATTATTAAAATTATTAAATAAAAAAAAAAAAAATCGCTCTTTTAAATTTTTTTAATTTTTAGGTGTGGAATTTTTTTATAGTAATTCAGAAGTTATAAAAATCAAAAATATTAACAGATGTCTTTAAATTTTAGTATCATACTACAGTTAGCCGTTTTAAATTTTTAATTTATTAAATTATAACTAAAAAATATTTTTAAAAAATATTTTTAGTTTTTCAAGTTTTTTTTACAAATAAAAATTTTTTTTTATTATTTTGTAACAATTTTTTCAATAAAAAAATTTTTAGATGTCGGCTAACTTAATTTCAGAATATTTTACAAGTAATAACTATTAATATTTTATTTTATTTCAGAATTTGAAATAATGACACGCTAAACTCAAATATTAAAAATTAAGTTCTATTATCAGCCAGACTGTCATTATTATTTTATAAGAAGTCAATAAACAAATTGTTAATCCCTCAAAGAATTTAATTGCATAGTATTTAAAAAAAAATTTCATTATATGTGTATACCGTTCCATTGCGCTGCGCAGATAATAGATGTGTAGATGCAAACGCAAGAGAAGTAATATAAATAAAAGAAGAGATGGCTAGTACGTAGGCGTAAAGCTTTCCTCCTCACATGTAATGGTTTATGGCACGTCAGTAGCCGGAGGGTTTATTTTATTTTTATATTATTTAACTTTTTTTTAGTTAAGATATATCTGTTGAGATCTTGGGCTTGTTATTTAGCCAATCTTGAAGCTGAGTAATGACATTCTGATGAATGACTCAATGCATTGACACTGAGAATCAACACATCTCTTTTATTGAATAAAATGTGCAATTAAAATCAAAATTTATTATTTTTTCTAAGTGTTTAATGATGATTAATGGTTTTTATTTTTAATCGTAAATTACTTGTGATAAAGTAATAATCTATTGATCGAGACCTTTGTGCTCTCAAGGCTAGCTTAAGTGTTATTTGAGTTTGAGAGAGTTCCCAGTAATAATAATTCTGGGACAAAAACCTATAATTAAAATTCCTTAAGTCACTCTTGGGAAATTTCTACGGTGAAATTCAATATCTCGGTCATCCAATTGCTTTGACACTCGAGTGAAAAATTTCTAATTGATATTTCCTGCTATCAAACGCGATGATAAATAAATACACACATCAACCATACTAATACTTTCGATTATTAAATAAGATAATTATCAGTCTATTAATTTCCACATTCATTTTTTACAAACTTACAATATTTATTATTAGATTCTTGATGTGAAATCGTATTTGATCAAGGCGTGGTGTATTGACAACAAGGTTCATCGTCTTTGTTTATTTTCATTTTTATATTCTTATTATTCTCATTCTTTTTCACTCACAGCATGTATAACTATTCCGATATACATAATGCATTGACAAAGCAGACGTGAACAGGATTAAGAGAATCCGATACTGTATATTTTTACTTTTTCTTTTATTTTATTACTGTAAGCAATTCACCCATGAAATATTTTTCGCTTTCTTTGCGTCTAAACGAAATTTTATTTAAATTATATTCTTCTTTTAAAATTCTTTGAGTAAATTATTTTTCATCGGAATCCAATATACACTGAAAAAAAAAAAAATATTTTTGCTCAATTAACAATTTCTTAACTTAAGAAACTCACTAGCGATCAAATATTCTATTATTATTTTTATTATTTTTTTAGTATCAATAGTACAATTTGCTGTTAACAGATTTAAATTTCAGAGTCAAAAAATGCTAATCCAATTAAATAGTCACTAATAAATTAAAAAAAAAGTTATGAGCGACCTTTCAAAATTTAAATTTTGAATTGAAACTTTCAGGAACTTATTTTTTTTTTTTGGTCTATAAAATTATGACGTAACGAAAAAAAAATTAAAAAAAAAAAAATTCGATTTTCGAAATTTAAAAAAATTTAGAGCGACCTCTTAAAAAATTTTTTTTAAGCTGTCCTTTGGACAAAGCTCTTAAAACATTAAAAACTAACATTTTTTCACTCGACTTAAAAAAAAAATAAACATATTCTACTATTAATAATTATTAATTTCTGAAGAGAAGAATATCAATATTTATCTTTGGATAATAGATAAACAAAAAAATTATTTCAATCAATTATACAATTTCTTGAGCTAAGAATATATATTCTTGAAAATTTTCAAGAACATAAATTCTTGTATCAAGAAAATTTTCTTAATAAAAATATTTTTTTTTTCTCAGTGTAGCTTAATAATAATGTAAGTCTGTTAAATAAATTTCAGACTTAAATTGTAACATATAAGTAATATAAATCGTCTTACAATTAAAAAAAAAAAAAATTCCATGACTCAAGTAATTTATTCCGATATTTTTTTGAGCGAATAAATAATCGTAACAGTTGAATAATTATTATAATTTATTAGCCGCGCAAAAAGTCTCAGTAGTTCGATATGTTCGATTACTCTTTGTGTGTACTATAATAATAATCTTCTTTCTTCATGCTCCTTATATTACATCTAATGTTATACAAGAACCAGACATCATTTATGATAGCCCTGTAATGCTGTACACATTTTATTTTGCACATTAATTCTTATATATACATCTTGCCATTACATCATGATGAAACTTTCTACAAGCTTTTTCACATTCGTGTGAGCACACACACGTATATATTTATATAAATATGTATTATTAATGTATATATAGTACCCATGACAAAAAGTCATCCTCAGCGCTAAATCATACCGGATGAAGTGGAATCTTAAAAGCAGACACGAGCAACTTTGTGCGCATCGCATCGTTGCAATACTTGTATTAACGTTGTTAAATATATCTGAATTTTTATTCTCATATATTTTTATTATTACCTCAACAAAATAACTTCCACCATTTGTCTTAAAGTCATCGCTTTTTATCCTCGTCATAACTTTTTTTAAATACAAGCATTTATGTCAAAGCATATTCATCTAAAGCCTAATTAATCTTTTGGATTATTTATGACAGCGTAATCTCTCTTTAAGCTACTTAATCAGTCTATCATCGCTCAGCTACCAGATAATTTTTTCCCACCGGTATCTCAAGAATAAGCTAAAAATATTTACCGATAATTCTTCGATAAACTTTCATTCCCGCAAACTGGTGATTTTTTAAAACAGTAGCACGTGATTATGGAATCACTTGGATAAATAATCATTATTTTTAGTCCTTTCGTTGACATTTTGTTATCAAAATCCCAC